TTCTCAGGTTCTGTCCTGTTTCATCGTTTCTGACTTCCACAGCTGTTCCATTTTTGTTAATGATTGTATGGAGGCTGGTGTGAAATTTGGATAGGTTTTATTTTCTCTCTGCATCTCTTTCACATAAACCTTATCCTCTTTTTGGAGAGAGTCGTCCTGAGCTTTCCTCTTATTGTCGCTATATTCTTTACCTTCTTCCTTCTCAATTTTATCTCTGTCTATTACTTCGTTGCTCTCTTCATTATCTTCGAGGTCTATGAGGCTTGGGATTTTATCTCTGAACTGTCGGCCGTAAAAAGTTCTCCCGGAGTTTTACCGGTCACCGTGTGTGGGGTGCTGTTGTACATTACTAGATAATCTAGGAGCTCCTTTTTCCAGTCCTGTTTCAGCGAGTGGCTTATTTTGATTCGTTTCAAAATGTTTCGGTTCTGTCTTTCGACCTCTCCATTTTGTTGAGGCCAATATGGTATGCTACGGAAAACGATTATTTCACGTTGATGGCAGAATTGATGTTGTTCTTGGCTTGCGAACTGCTTACCGTTATCGGCTGTTATCGATGACGGATAGACAATTCGAGAGAAGATCTCCTGGAGTAAATCCACTGTTTTCCTAGTAGTTGTGTCCTTCGTGATTTTGATCTTTTCATAGCGGCTATAATAATCAATCACTACTAATATAAAATATTTACCAGGAAGAGGGCCCAGATAATCGATAGCAATATCAACCCATGGCTTGGATGGTAATTCCCGTCGCTTCATAGGGTTAGGTCGTAATGGTGTCGATACTTAGATACATCCTCTTCAAGACTTGACTAGTTTTTCTGCGTCGCTATCGATCTCAGGCCACCAAACCTTTGTTCGCAATCTGCCTTTCATTGCTGAAATTTCTGGATGTCCTTCATGTGCTGCCAATAAAACATCTTTCCTCAGATTTGTTGGTATCACGAATTTGTTTCCTCTCAGAAGAATTCCGTCTTGATAACATAATTCTGATTGGAATATTTTATAAACGTTAGTCGACTGGTCCCAGTGGTTTTCAAATAATCCCTTCTCACTTTGGCGAATTCCTCATCTATTTCCGAATGATGTTTGATATCGTTCAAAGAAATTGCTACAGGTCGTGAATATTCTATCAATTAGTGAACGCTTTCTTTGTCGAAAAGTTCAGATGGAACTATGATGCAAAGCCTTGATAACGAATCAGCTATATTCGATATACCTGGTCTATAAACTATTCTGGAACTGTAGGACTGGAGTCTAAGGACCCATCTTTCGATGCGTACATAGGGTTTGGATCTTGATCCGAAAATGACTTCGAGAGGCTTATGATCAGTCACTAACTCGAACTCCGCCTTGCCATACAAATACGCTTTGAAATGTTCGACCGCCCAGCCAAGAGCCAACGCTTCCTTTTCTGTCTGGCAGTATCTTCTTTCGCATTTTGTCAGACTTTTATTTCTATATCCGATGATTCGTGGTCCCCTATCGTCAAACTGAATACACTGTCAGTTGGATTATAGTATCCCAGTGATTTGATTTTTGTTGATATTTGTTTGATTAGTTCAAATGTCTTTCGTTGTTCGTCTTTTCAATGAGTTTCAATGTTTGCATGTTTTCCTAATTTCAGTCTCAGTATGTGTCGAAATGGTTCTGTTAATGTCGCTAGGTTTGGTTATCCACTTGCCCACATAGTTGATGGGGCCTAAGAAACTTTGAATCTCGTCTACGGTTTTTGGTGATCTGAACGTTTTTATGACCCCCACATAGCTATCAAGAGGTGTGATTCCATTGATCGATAAAGTATGACCCAAGAATTGGAAACTTTTCATTCCATACAGGCATTTCGCCTCATTCAATAAAATATCACTTTTGCGTAATGTTCTCAATGTGAAACGTAGTCTAGAGTTGTGTTCTGTTTCATCTTTCCCAAATATAAGAATGTCGTCTATGGAATTAACAGTGCCTTCACTCTTCAGAAGAATTCGTTCTAATGTTTTCAAGAATATTTCAGGTGCACAAGATATTCCAAACACCAGTCTCTAATATCGAAACAGACCATTACTACTGATGAAAGTTGTGATATGACGTGAATCAGGTGATATTTCTAATTGATGAAAAGCATTCTCTATGTCTAATCTGGAAAACAGTTGAGAATTTCCGAATATTGGGAGGAGTTCGTTCATAGTTGGGAGAGGATAGTTCCCTCTGATGATTGCCTTATTAGCTTCTCTCATATCTACGCATATCCTAACCTCACCGTTTCCTTTTAAAACTGGAACGAGGGGAGAAACCCACTTGGATGGACCGACCACCTCTTCAATTATGTCGGAGTCTAATAGTTCTCTCATTTTGGTGTTGACTTTCGTTTCTAAGGGGATGGGTAGGTACTCTTCTATATGGTTGACGAATTGGCTTGACGTTTTCATCGATTGGAATATCAATGAGAACGTTTTTGAATTTAGGGAAGGTGGACACGTTGTTCACCGACTCCAACCTGATTTTCAAGACTCCTAAATCTTTTGAGGTGTCTTTTCCTATTAATTATTTGTATCATTTTTGATTACATAAAATGTGGCATCTAAATGTTTGTTATTTATTCCTATTTTGGATACGAAAGAACCTAATACCGTTAAAGGTTTATTGCTTCCATAGGCATTTTTTTAGGATGTTTTTCTTGATAAATGATTTGAACATTATGTTCTTTCAAGTATTCCCAGGTCTTATCCGTTATAAGATTACTTTTACTCCCGGAGTCTATCAAAATTTTTGTCTTTACCCCACCTAATGAACAAGTTATTGTTTCATCTTGGTATATATGGAAAACATGGTCAATTTCATTTTCCGAGTGTGAATCTTCTGTGATGAAACGAACTCCAGATTGTCTTGGTTTTTTATTTTTTGAAAAGTAATTCCTCAATAATTCTTCATTTTTCCTTTTGGAAACTTCTGACTTTGGCTGGCGTGTTCTACAATATGCTGCAAAATGTCCAGGTATGTTGCATTTATTACAATTCTGCCGTCTAGCTGGATATTTTGAGTCGTTAGAAAAATGATTACTGCGACCACATCTAGTACAGGCTTGTTTTGATTTACCTTCAACCTTGAATTCAAAGCATTTACTTGGTCGCCGTTTCCTGAAGAACTTCGTGAAATCCTCCCAGTTCTCTATTTACTGTTTCTAGAGATGTAGCCCTAGAGATGTAGCCTCGTTGATCACCCTTTCTAGAGTTATCGAGTCCACAGCTGCTAATATTTTCTTCCGTAATTTGATTGAGTTACCCTTTTTCACTATTTGGTCTATTCGATTTTCTTCTATATTGGAAAATTTACATTTTCCTGCCTGATTTCTAAGTCTCAAGAGAAATTTCTTGATTCCTTCTCCTTCTTCTTGCTTCATCAGACGAAAAACGTGTCGTTCATAAACTCCGCTATGTTATGGTGAGAAATATTTATCAAGTTTTGTGATGGCTACTTCGTAGACATCCACTCCTTCCTCCTGGTTGACATTGGCTCCTGGTATGTTATAAAATATTTCTTGCAATCCTAATCCACCTTGATGTAGAAGGTTCGCTTTTCTTCGAGGGGTTTCCAATACCGGCAGCTTCGATGTAAATAGAAAACGCTCTTTTCCATTTCTCCCAACGAAGGCCGACTGAACAAATGTCTCCCTCGACATCGAATTGACTAATGTTACAGGTATTTTGGTTCATCACGTCTAGAAATGATATATATATATATAATTAAGAGTGCCCATTGGTGCCCTCTATTTGAGCTTTCGCTCACACCTGTAGCCGTTTCAGGACCTACAGTATTCGGACTTGGTCCAGGTCTGTGACCCTCAGACATTTCGTCTGTTCGAGTTTTCACTCAGGCCTGTGGCCTATTCATGACACATCGGTCTTCGGACATCCTGGTCCAGGTCTGTGACCCTCAGACATTTCGTCTGTTCGAGTTTTCACTCAGGCCTGTGGCCTATTCATGACACATCGGTCTTCGGACATCCTGGTCCAGGTCTGTGACCCTCAGACATTTCGTCTGTTCGAGTTTTCACTCAGGCCTGTGGCCTATTCATGACACATCGGTCTTCGGACATCCTGGTCCAGGTCTGTGACCCTTGTCTGATAATCTATCATACCCAGTTCAAGTTTCCAAAGTATTTCATTCAAATGTGACGAATTGAAAAATATGAAATTGACTGCATTCAGAATCGACCCGTATTCAATAATTGCTGCACGTCCCCATGTCAACGGTTTTTCATTCTATGATTCATATTGTGGACTGAGCGTATATTTCACTCTACAAACTAGAACTGGGCGAGCTAGGTTCAGATGTCTTTTGCATATTTCTTCTACTCACCCTGATTAATCAACTTATTCCAAATTATTTTCACTCGTCGCCACTGTAATATACTGGGATGGGGTAACACAATTAAACACCGATGTACACTGTCCGATCGTCCAGACACTAATGAATCTCCTTATCATTATTTCAACCTATCCGCATTGCGATGGTGATGATTCACTCATGTCTTTCTGATCCGTTTATTCATAATTACTGGATACTACAACATGAAAATAACTAAAATAAGTGACAAATTATTCTACGGAACAAAAACCATCGATAGTTCACCTAATTCAGCTCTAATTGGATTTGGACTAGAAGATTTTTCATTCTTTAGTTTGTGTTTTAACAATGAGAGTAATTTATGTTCCGTAAATGGGTTCAAAAACATTGTGTAAGGGTTGAAATCCTTTTCATTATCGAATACCCCATTATTACTGGAAGCCAATAACACGGTCTCCGAGAAATAACTAATCAACAACCGGAACAACCACTAATAAGCTGCTAAGCCAATGACGGCTAAATAGACTCTCTGACAGTCCATTTAGCCGTCATTGGCTAAGCTCGCATTTTTTCCAAATCAAATCAAAGTGTATCTCTGTTCTATGGTTCTAAGCACGAGTTCTAGGCTACCATGATTGATTCTGACAGTTGTCTATTTTCAACAATATGAATATGACAGTATTGACAGTTATGGCACTGACAAGTTTTTGTTCTTGTTATCTTGTACATTTTTTTTACTTTTTAGTATAGATGGTTTTTGATAAAAATTGGAAAAATTTCGACCATGCGAAATGGCTACGATGAATTTAAATGAAAATGGTGTTCATCACTCAATCGTCAATGGTAATACGGAATGGGTACCTCTCACGCTAACTTTGGTGGAGTATCCCAAAGGTAGGCATAGTTATCAAAAATATTATTGAAAAAGTTCCAAGTCCAGGAATAATGATGGCCCATCATTGTTTTATTTATAATTAACTCCACGTTGATTATATTATAAATTAAAATAGTATAATCTCCATCCATAACTATTTTAGGTGATTTGATTGGGAAAGTTTTGGCACTAATCAGCTTAGCCCCATTTGGAATAGGCTCAGGATTTCTAGCATTGATACTTTTCAGACGTGATTTGCATACAGTAAGTATATCTTGTATCTCGTTTGGTATTTATTAATTCATCCACTTTTTTTTAAGATAACATTTTTCCTTGGGACACTATTTTCTGAAGCAATGAATTACATTCTTAAACATACTATTTGTGAAGCAAGACCTTTGCTAAGGGACACTGTCCATGTGGAATATGGTATGCCATCATCACATGCTCAGTTTGTCTGGTTTTTTGCTACTTATGTCATATATTTTGTCTTCATCAAGTAAGCCAATTATATCACACCTTTAAACATAACATAACATAAAACTTGAACTGTTTCAGGTTACACCATATGAATAACAATACAATCATTGAAAACTTGTCAAAATTTTTGATTATTTCATCTTCCTTTTTAATGGCAGTTCTTGTTTGTATAAGTAGGATATATTTGGAGTACCACACACTTTGGCAGGTTCTCTGTGGGGCAATTGTTGGAATACTTTTTGCTACTATTTGGTTTGCCCTAACTTACCTTGTGTTGACACCATTATTTCCACAAATTGTATCCTGGTATGTAAAATGTTCCAGTCACTGTATTAAATCTTATTTGGATTGATAGTTATAAAATATATTTTTTTAATTTGCAGGAGAATTTCAGAAATTCTTTTATTAAGAGATACAACATTGATTCCAAATGTGTTATGGTTTGAATACACTAATACAAGGCAAGAGGTCAGAGCAAGAAGCCGTAAACTAGTCAGTATGAAGTCCCAATGACATTTGTTGGAGGACAGTTTCAATTTTATGTTGCCATACCCTATGGTCTATGTTTTCAAGACATTTGTCTATTGGCCAAGGAAACGGTAATTGCTGAGGAAATTTGCTGAAACTGTTAACAATCAATATTTTTATATGCAGCTTTTTATGGCATATTTTGGTTTGGTTGCCAGGTGACCAGAACTTTTGAGGAGAATTGGAATTTTTCTTTGAAAGTTGAGCTGATGTTATGGCAACAAAAATGTTCAGGCTATTTCATGCCATCAATCAGTTTTCATTTGGTTCTGTAAAAAGGGGAAAAAAGAGAACAGTTTGTTTCTCCTAAAGGCACATTATTGTCTTCATTTTATGTGATCACTCTAGCTACCCCCTTTTCAGCTCTCTAAGTATTGGGAAGAATCTTGCATACAGGGTGGATTGCAAGTTACAAAGAAATTGCAAAGCTAACATTATTTAGTACTAAGTACTAAGCCTGTACAGTGTACATAGTGGATGTCACCCTGTATGAAACTTACATATTATCCTGGAGTTATTTGTATTCCCTATAAAGTTTTAAAAAAGGGGTAATGTGATTATGATCTACTTTGTAAAGAAAAAATGTTTGGAAGAAAACTGTCAATTTGAATTATTCAAATAATTTTCCAGCATATTGGAGAACACCTACCCTTAGATATTTTGATGTTATATTGATATTTCAAGTGTCTGCAATGTTTTCTACCTGTTGGTATTTTGTAGAACTTTTTATGTTTGGTGTGTTCATGTAAGTATTTTTACCCAATGTGGAAACTGCAAGTGTTCAGTTATTTATTTTTATTTTCACCAAAATTGTAATTTTGCTGTTTTGGTTTTGGTCTAGTATTCAGTTTATTGTTACATTCCAAAAACTAAATATTAAATATTTTAATTGAAAGATGATTTACCTTGGCAGCTTATATTTTCGAAATTGAGCTATAAAATTCAGCTGTTTCCTATTTTGTGGCCCCTATGATATTTTTTTAATTATTATTGTGCAATGTTATTATTAGCATTATCAATAATACTCTTCAATACACTATCTCTATATTACTTGTTATCTAATTGTCTAATTTATTTATTTATAATTTTAAGTCCAATCATTTATGAACATATTTGATTGCTCCTTGTATATTTTAATATTCTCATCTTATTCAAAGTATATTAAATCCATGTAGGTATTTTAAGTTATACCATACCCTCTATTGATTTGTTTTATTACCTGATTTGTTTTGAAAAATGACTACAACATTGAACTTTTTTATCTTTATACCTGGTGTCCCAAAGAGGTGGCTCATCAGCGTCACTAAAACTTTTGAATTGTTTTCAAGATGTGATGTGAAGTAGGTAGGCAATTTGGTTAATATGAATAGGACGTAAAATTTCATTCTCATTTTGACATTTAATTTGACACTTCAAAACTAATGAAAGTTTCATAAAGTAAAATATTACATGTCAAATGTTCATTTCAATACCAGTTACGTAAACTCCGTGTTATGTAAATAGACAACTTTTAAAACTTCCGACTGACATCAACTTTCGATTTCGAGATTTAGTAACACAGAAAGTTTCAAAGGAAAAATGAACTACATCGTCGACTTTCCATTGAACGGATTGGATGTGAGTCACTACGCTTCTAAACGATGATGTGTCAATACGATGTAGATATGCCATTCATTACTAATCATATCGGTACCACCAACAGCGGATACTATACGGCCTATTGTAGATATCCATCTTCTAATAATTGGCAGGAGTTGTGATTTATTTTTTTTTTCATTGACTCGGCCCTTACTTGATGAAAATCCATAGCAAATGTAAAAACTTCACAAACGATAAAATTCTTAATCACACAGTAAGTTTCGCTAACACACATACGGTGTACCGGATATTATTACCTACTAAGACAACAAATTCAACAGTGGTGAAGAATTGAGGTCTAGTTGATCATTAAGTAAAATGTTAGAATTTTTGAGTTTGTTGATTTCTAATGATTCAAAATGGAGTTTTATTCCTTTATTTTTCATGTGCAGAATTTCGAAATTATCATCGAAACTATGGTTTTCTTCTAATATATGGTTGGCGTTTGTTGAATTTGTTTTCTATTTCATAAAATGCATCTCATGTTCATGAATGCGCTGATTAAACGTACGGCTTGTCTGACCGATATATATCTTAGGACAAAATCCCTGTTGTTTTGAATTTGTCTGTATTATTTTTGATAGACCTTCCCATGGTGTTATTTGTTCTATATGCAATTTTTAAGTCCTGTTTATGCAGAAATTTTTCAGATGATATCTGATTTTGATGGTAGGGGTAAACTTATTCTAGAAAAGCTCCATTATGGAGTTTTTTAGAAATAATATATTGTCTATGAAATTAACAATGTATCCGTTGTTGACTGCAATTTGTTTTATGATATTGAGTTCTTTATTGCAATTTACTTATGAAAGAGGGACATTCACTAGCCTGTGTATCATACTATTTATTATACCTATGCTGATGAGGGGGTGTCTTCGATATCGGTGAAATGCGTTGTAACTGGGAAAGCACATATAAATAACAGTAATTATTATTATTATTATTATTAAACTTCTGTGAATTTTGACAGTGACATTTTGAGTCAATAAAATGAATACCTACACATCAGGGTGTCCCCAGAAAGTTAGACGCCAGCCACACCTCTGGGACATACTATTTTATGCTACATTTTTTGGGAAATTTTGTAAATTTGTATGGTATGGTGTTGTGTTGACATATTAAAAACTCTTTGATAGCAATCAAGAATATACTTACTAAAGCTCGACTGATTTAAAAACTAGATAAGTAGACAACTTTAAAAGATAAGAGTTAACGGTATAATTTATATATATATATATATAAAATTATGCTTACGAAATGACATTTGTTTTTTAAATTAACAACTAGATGAACGAGCTACGTATACCATGAATAGAAAAGTATTTATGTAAAAATGTGAAGACGTTTTCAAACATTCGGAAATAAATTTCAAATAGTGATTATTACTATAGCTTTATTCGCCACCCTATACACCATATCTTGTCAATTTCTTGTCAATCATCCATCAATAACCATCATAATATTGAATATCAAAATAATCATGGCTTAAATTAATCCAGAACATCATTTTCACTTTCATCATGTGTTAATAATTGGTCCAAAACATTTTCATTCTCGCAACTCAGTAATAAAATGTTTGTAAAAAGGAAACCCCATTTTCTCTAATGGCCGAGGGCTGGGATAACAAAAAGAAAATAAGAGTAAGGAAAGCATCTTCAACTTCAGTAAGTCCTATGGAATCGAGATATAAATACAATACAACATCGTAATTTGTTATAGTTAACTAGTCAACAGTCAAGACATGATTTCGAGGAAGATTACTATACACCCTTAGCAGCACAAGATTCACAATGGAAAGGAATTAGTTTGAAAAATTATGCAGAGAATACAGAACACCTTAGAGGTAAAGAGATCGAGGGAGTCTTTCTATAAGAAATACCGGTAAAACTGCATTTATCATGCGATGGTTTTTTTTTCGAAATTTTTTTGTGTACAAACGTATTTTTGTCTGAAAAACACTAGTTTGATAATGAAAATTTGAACAAACCACTATTTACCGAGATATTTCAAGAAAAAGTTCTTTTTCCCCTTGTGTTTAATGCATTTACAGCTACTTGCTCTTCTTATTTTGTCATTGGACACTTTATATACTCATGATACATCTCACTCATGATGTACTTTAAAATGACACATCTTTATCTAGAAAATCCAACAGGGAATATGATTTTTATGGCGAGTTTTTCATATTTATTGAACAAGCAAGCTGGTCAGCAGAGATTGCTTTTGAATGACAGTACGCACACAAGACAAATTTTCCTAAATGCGATCCAGAAGACAGGCGGAAAAGAAGATGAAATTTGTAACTTTATAGTGAAATATCTTAATAAATAATGGTCTGTTCACATTTTCATTATCAAATTCATGTTTCTCATACAAAAATACGTAAGTACATACCAAAATAAATTTTCGAAAAAAAACCATCGCACGATTAGTTTTACCGAAATACCAGTAAAATGTCACTAAAAATCAATTGATCTGCAATAGGAACTTCTGATGAAGAGATTGAAGTGCGTGTTATCAATTTAGAACAAGAAGGGACTCTACCTCTATTGCTACTTTTTCCTGATTTGCGTAAAGAAGATTCCCAATCACGATTATTAAACGGTCAAATGTCCACATCTTCTTTGACAAAATTACTCAAGGGTAGAAAAGCTAAATTGGAGCTTCTGAAACCTTCGAAAAAACTAGCCTGCAAACAAGTTTGTTCATAATTTATTCATGCATTGAATATTATACTACTAATTTTTTTCATAGAATCTTATCCCTGTTCAAGAAGATTCTGAAAGTGAAGACGGTTACGTTGGTGATAAACTGAATGAAATATCAATAGCAAATAGCACTTCAAATGATGGAGACGTAAGTTCAGAGTCAGTAGATGACGTCATGAAGAAGAAAAAACTCCCAAATGATAAAATTCTAACTAAGGCTGAAAGAGATTTTATACATCAACAGAATATATCCAAACGTGTTCCAAGCGATAGCGTCGAAAAATAAAAACCAATTTGCCAAGTGTGGTATTTGATTTAATTATTATATCATTATATTTAACAATAACAACAGGTTTGAAAACATCTAGATCAATTAAAAGCATTTTCTTTGATATAATTCCAATTGCACGTCATTTATACAGAATTGACTAAATCTTATTGCATTTTTAACAATTTCCTTATAAATGTTTGGTCAAAAACTGTGATATTTTTGAACAATCACATATAATCTCACATGAATAGTTATATAGTGCTGAATATTCAACAAATTATAAATAATGTCTAACTGTAAATACAAAAATAACAATAATGAGTGCATATATATATATATATATTGTAAAATATTGTCTTTCCGATTATAATCCTATAGAATCTATGGAATGTATAAGAACAATTTTCAAGGAATTTGAATAGCTAATTACAATGTTTTGTCATAATAATTATCAATTTTTATATATTCATATAACTGAACAGCCACACTGTATATCACATAAAATAAAAATATATATAATCCATATAAGGTGTAATATCATATCAGAGAGGTAAATATACAAATATGAAAAAGATATGCGCGATTTCTGGCACACATTTGAATTCTGAATGACTCATGAAAATTCCATGGTTTTAATTACACTGAAAAATTAAGTCAGAACTTCTAGGAATGCCTTTGGTACCAACCCTTGGCGACTGTTGCTCTTTCCTATGAAGTAATCACTATTGTGTATTTCTTTTATCATTATAATCTGAAAACATACTAATTGTAAAAAACTCCACATACATATCTAAAGATTTGTCTCACATCGTTGGCCTTCACACTGAGTTCACCACCATCTTTTGCAACATAGTTGCAAATAACTCTGGCTTGCTTCAATTCACTATCCAAGTGTTGCGTGAAGGATTGCGTGTTATTTTGTGTAGGGCTATTGGGAAGACTATCGGACATACTATGAATAAGAAAAAATAAATAAAAGCATTGAAGTAAATTGGTGCAAAAAAGATCATGCAAGACAATATGAAAATTAGCAAATAACTCAAGAGGATTCATATGAATTGTAAACTGTACAAGAATTATTCCAGAGTCTAAAGACAATGGTGAATTATACCTTTCAGCATTCTTGTAATATGACAACAGTTCTACACAATTTATATAAGTATATTTGTAGATCTTTTAGTTCATATAACATAACCAGCTGACCCGGCAAACATGGTTTGGGCTCCGGAAAACCCCCAGATGCCAATTTTGAATGGAATCTGACCATAATTACAAAACTCGTTCGCCATATTGGATCCGCCATTTTGAATTCCCTAATTTTGATGAAGAAATCATAATCTCCGTCCTCGAAAACCCCCAGATACAAATTTTGAATGGAATCTGACCATAATTACAAAACTCGTCCGCCATATGGGATCCGCCATCTTGAATTTCCAAAATTTGACGAAAGAATCATAATCTCCGACCCCGAAAACCCCCCAAGTACCAATTTTGAATGAAATCGGATAACAATTCTCGTCCGTCATGTTGGATCCGCCATCTTGAATTTTCGATTTAAAAAATAGATTACGACCGATTCTCATACCTACCAAATACGCACAAAAAATTTGAATCGGTCGAGCCGTTTCGGAGGAGTTCCACCACTAACACCGTGACCGGAAAATTTATTGTTTTATAGACTGGAAGATGTATTTTATTGTTAATCAAAATATGAAACTAAAATTAATTGACATATTAAGAAACATAATGTATTTTTACTGACATGAGAGGATTTTTTGCCAATGGAAAGTTTTCCAATTTTACCAAATATCCCACTAGAGACATATATCAACTTCTAGCAAGTTTTCAGCCATTTTTCCTGCCTCATTATGCCACCAAGATTCATTAAACGCAATAAATCAACTTGGGAATATTGCTAGCTCATGTCTAGAATTGTGAGAAAAATTATATACCTACTCATTTTAAGTGGATTTTCTATGGCCATAGCCAAGGTTGGAGTCAGCTGAACCATTCATGCAACAATTATTATTACTAACTTTTATAGCTATAACACTAATATTTCCTTCTAGAATACAATAGTTATAATTTGAGAAAAACAAATGAAACCTGATTGCAAGCATACTACTAATGTGAATATCAATTCTGATCACTGTAGGCTGTAGGTATATCAATGATTGCAACAAAATAATAAAAAAACTAAATCAGAGAATGTGATTTAAACAGCAGTAGTGTCATTTTCAGCAGTGTAAGATAGATTGATAGGAGTGAAAGTTTCATAGGAGGTAGAGTTTTGATTGGGACTGACAGATTCAAGTTCTTCACTGTTCAGACGCAAAACAGGACCAGGTTTGGAAACACTGAAAACATGCATAGAAATCCTATTGTATAAAAAGAATTGAAGAGTATTTGGTACCTACCTCTAATGAATGGAAGATATCATAACATATTCTGATGTTTATCATGGAATTACCTTGCTATTTCTCTCTGTAGATCAGTCATAATTGTGGTACACTGGGAATAGAATCTTGCTTGTGTTTCTACAAATTCATGTAAATACCGTAGATGAGCTGCATGTGAGCTGCCAATACCTTCCAAAAGTAATTTGATGATCTCTGCTTGTCTGTCAAATTCTGATTGGGCAATCCTAAGATCTCGTTCTGCCTATTAAAAAGACAACAAATTTTAACTTTTGGCATACATATAAGTATACTACTCCCATAACTTAATAGTTATTATTTATTATACAAGGGAAGAAAGTATGAGATTTTTGCTCCCGGTTGTGTTGTCTCCTGCTACATTGTGGAGGGATACAAAAAACCAAGAGCTAAAATCTAATATCACTTTCATAATATACAATTCTTTTCTGTGAAAGGAAAAAGGTGGAATCAATATTGGGAAGATATTACATTATATTAAAATTGAAAAATTATGGACACGAAATTTGAAGTGTTTAACAGGACTGACACCTGCCCTGCAGGCATCTTCATCATTCCTGTGAATTAATCAAATATCTGTCAGTAGCAAAAGTATTATTCTGTGATTAAATATAAAAAAATCGGGAATTTAGTGGTTGTTTAGTAATTTCATTGTCTGCTCAATATGGAGAAAAAATCTAGTGAGCTGTAACTACTGGTCTGCTCAATTAATAGCTCAGTTGAGTGTATGACCACCAGAGGATGTTACCGTATCGGACGAAATGATCTTCACTTTTTTCTAGAAAATTTTCGAAATTTGTGGTTATGTAAGTTGTCAGTGTCAAGAGATGTCGTGCCATCATCGTGACTTGTATTTTCCTTGAAAAAAATCTTCCTTTTTCAATTCTCATTGATCTAATATTCTTTTCATTTATAGATATAGTTTTGTATTGTGCTCCCAGTATTATAGTTTATTCTGATTGATAATTTGTTACAAACTCTGTCTCTAAATTGTGGCTATAGTTTATGCAAAGTCAGTTGGAAAAGCACATCACCGCAAGCCGTCGGTCCCTTTGAAAGTTCAAAGAGTGTGGCAGTGCGGCCCGACATTCGTTTGATGATCTATTCAACTGACTTTGCATTAACTTTACCAGAAAGTGTGAAACCGTGATATTCTTCTGCGATATAAGTGAATACATTCGATATTGAGTGTCACAGGCTCATTACAAGTGAGATACTCAGAGCTCTCATCAAAAGCTAATAATCCATACTACTCATTCTACCTCTCATTTAATTTAGGTGTTGAACGTTACGAAATAGGAGACTATTGTAGTAAATGTAACAACCATTTTGAGAAGGAATGATTTTTTGAATTTTTGAGTGACTGAGTGACCGTGAATATATGTCGTGATATGAACTCAAACTAACTGAACAACAAACTACGCGGCAGGCCGAGAGTGCCGAGAGCATCGTTGAGGGAGCTGCTGAACTTTTACGATTTTCAAGGTTATGTAGATTTGACAGTAAAATAATTGAAATGAGTGTTTCCTGGCGTTGACCGTATGGCGGCACTACTGTATCGGCTACAGAAACCTGTAGGTGATTTCCCTTGTTTGAGCAGACCAGATACTATAGCTCACTAGATTTTTCCTCCATATTTAGCAGACAATGGTAATTCACATACTCACTTTCTTTCAGGTGGGAAAAAAGTATATCTTTTTAATTCATGAAAAGTGACATTTTATAACCTGTCAATTAACAGAGATGAAATTTTAATTTTTTTTCTGGTCACAGAAAAAACAGTATTTTTTGTGGGATAGTGAGAAACTTAAATTGTAACAATGAAGTAACAATGGTATTTGAAAGTAAGACTGAAGAAATACATTAATAATAATGTCAGTATTATTGATGTTTGTGATTTCATGCATCTACTATATGGCTTTGTGTAAATGTGTGGTATATTTTCCTCAAAAATACCTGGTCCAATGTAAATTCTGGAGAAATTCCATCCTTCTGAAGATTGCATGAAAATTTTCAGGGGTAAATTTTGGTGACACAATTTTGAATTATAATTTCAGAACTTGATAGCATTAACCATAGATAAATTTTGTTGTTATTTCATTAACAAAAAAGATTTTATAAAACTTACAGTAGGTTGTCCCAACATGCTTCTGGCTTTTCTAACACGATTTTTACAGGAATCCAAATCCAGTCTAAAAATAAAAACAACAATCAAACAAATCAACTATGGACATATTGACATGTTTACATTCCTTTTGGTTTCAAGAACATTTTTCTCCTTGATTATTGTTTTCATTTCAGTTTCCAAAAATTTTCTCAAAGGCTGTGTATAACACATTCCTGCAGAGCCAATAAAATCTCTTTCTGTTTGACCCAGTTTTTGTTCCCACTGTCCCACTTTGATAAGGGCTCCTCCATAAGCAGTGCCTGGTCCTAAGGCAGTACCTGCCTCTACCATGTCCACACCAAGATATTCCAAATTACTCAATCTGGATGGACGTTTTTTCTCGATTTTTTCATAAATGTAATCCTCAACACGATTACCAGGATTTGGTATCAAAACTGCTTCAGAATTACGTACTAATTTTTCAGTAAAATTCTTAGTATTCTCTGCTCTATCCCATAAATTTTCAAAGTGGGCATCCAATTCAGTCTTTTCTGAAGTACCAAGTTTTTCTTCTGTAAGCTTTAATAAAATGGCTTTGTTTATTCAAGATAAGTTTAATAATGACTCATACCTGAACCACTCTACTGAGGGCTGCTCCAGCGTCTTTTACAATTTTTTTAACATTGAAATCCATGTTAATTTTCACCTTGATTTTATTAATTTATAGATTTGTTACCTTCCTCAACAAGTTTATCAGCAGTAATAACTGTAAACGCTGAATGTGGGAGAACGGAAAACTGATATTTACACAAGATTCTGTTTACACAAGATTCTGTTTACACAAGGAAATCAGATAATCAAAAATCAGAATAATGATTTTTTTGTTGATTGTTGTGACAGCAGTGACAGCACCTAATCACCGATGACATTTGGCTAAGAGGTGTTACTTAACTTGAATATGAGAAATGAGAAGAATCAGAAGAACGGAAGAGAGAATTTAACCGTTTGACCCATTTTATTACTCTTCTCTTTCACTATTGTTATCTGTTATGGTCCCCTGTTGCTCTGTTCCAATGATACTAAGGCCTTTTACTATTATACTTTGTTGTTATTTATTTGTATTCCTTTTTTGACATTTGTGTCAATTCGAAGAATTCGAGTTGGAAAACAAAAAATCAAAAATTTTGAGAACCATTTCAGGAATTCCAGATAATGTTGGGATTTTGTTGAGATGTAGTTTGAGGTTTAAGTTTATCCCACTACCCTTATTCCATTGAAACAAATGGCTTATTTTCACTATAGATGTGGAGAAAGAATAACTCTCATAAACGAAAATACTACTGCTATCAGAAATGAAACAGATTTTGATCATGGGATGGTGATATCGGCAGAACCACTGGCAAATGATGTTCTATTTGAAATAAAAATTGACAAAAAAGTAGGCAATATCCTTCCTTTTATGATATCTGATTTCAATAAGGTTCTTTCTAGGTGCATTCTTGGTCTGGAAGTTTGGAAATAGGAGTAGTAGATTGTGACCCTTTACATTTTGATTTCCCACCTTCTGCTTCCAAAATCCTAACAGGATCATGGGTAAATAGTCCCTTGAAAATATTAATTGTAATAATATCTTCACAAACTTGTAGATTATGTCTGGCACATCAGTTTTCAAAAATGGTGTATGCCTGGTAGAAGATTATGGTATAGACTTAGATAAATTGAACCAGGATGACCGAATTGGGCTGATGAGGACATCAGAGGGTGACCTGATATTTTACATCAATGGTGAATCTCAAGGGGTGGGGGCTGAAGATTTACCCAGCATAGCTTATGCTGTTGTTGATTTGTATGGTAAATGTGTCCAAGTCAGCATCACCAGCCCTGCTTATCGAGAATACAATAATGATGATTGTCTCAGTGGAAGCTCAGTTCTTGCTATTGATAATGATATTCTCAATGTGACTTTAGGAGGAGATCTCAGTGAACTGAGCATGAGTAGCAGTAACAGCTTGGATATGAGAATGGACATGAATGCAAGGTGAGTATCAAATTTATTTTTATTCATTAATGAAATCAAGAAAAAATCTACATATTTTGCTATTGAATATTAGTAACATAAAAAATATTTATTTTTCATATTGTACCTCCTTCACATAGGCTATAGTGGCTTGTGTGTGAAAGAGATGAATCATTTTATGCAAGTATACACACTTTTTCACAATATTAATGCTGGAATTGAATACAAATAATTCACACAATAGTAAGAATAAAATAAAGGAAAGGAAAAGATCATTTGCTTTTATGCATTTTCCATAAGCCAACTTTTGACCTTTGTTTTTAAGTTATCATATTTTAGAAGTTAAATTTCAATGGCATTTTTATTATAAATTTCAGATGCAATAAAACTAGATAAGTCATACATTGTTGATTTTGTTTCTTGTATCATAACTATGATTGATTTTATTTGGTATTGCAGGATTATTTTCAATGAAGATTATTGACACCTCATAGAATAATTTACTAACATTTAATGTATTATTATGAGTATTATTATCTAAAAACAATGAGGCAATATCATTTTCAAAGCATATTTTTGAATAAATAACAAAGATGTTAGATGAATTTCATACATACCACCCCATCCAATGATTCCATGTGATAATATAGATTGGAAGAGAGTATGATGAACCATGATTATTAAATGTCTACTGACGATAATTTTGGAAGGGTACTTCTTAGTTTATTTGTTAGTTCTGATACTTGATAATTCCACTTCAAATTTTGATTAATGTTTATTCCAAGATATTTGATTGAATTTACCGAGGAATTTACTAATTTACTTAAGATATTTTACAGTACAGGAGCAAATTACTGGTATTTTGGATGCATTTTCAGAGCAATTCCGCTAAAAATATAGAATATGGTTCTTCCTTGGCTCATTTTAAGGAGATAAGTTCATATGAATATATGCCCTAAACCTCTTAACTTTGATGCTATATACAGTGTCATTCAAAAAGTCGGCATCATACATATGAGAAAAACTTTTATTAATGACTTATTTTGAAATTCGAGTTGGACGTTAAGTTTTGCTTCAAAGAAGATTAAAAATGGCCTACTCAATCGGGGTCACGTGACTTTCGCTACTTGTCAAAAGTGACATTTTTTTAAATTAATCACTGAAAGTAGGCTTATTTGTTCGAATATCGAAAAAGTTCATTTGAAAAAGTTGTTTCTATTCAAATTTTACATATGTGACTCGGATTTTACCTCTCTATTACATTTTTTAGATTTCGATATTTTTTAAAAATTTTCGAAATTTCTGTAATATTAAAAAAATTGTAAATTCGATGAAACTACTTCATACCAGTAGTTTCATCATGCTACTAACTTTCAATTACTAATTATCACTAATTATCGACAAAAATATGATTTTCTTCAGAACATAACATCAAAATTCTGTTATGTTTGAGTCAAGCATTTAGAAACGAAATTCATTTAAATTTATTTTTTCAGCACTGAAAAGATCAGTTTAAATGAATTTCGTTTCTAAATGCTTGACGATATATCAACTTTGCATCAAACATAACAGAATTCGTAAGCGGGTATTATCATTTTCTGAAGAAAATCATATTTCTGTCCATAATCAGTGATAATAAGTAATTGAAAGTAAGTAGCATGAGAAAGCTACTGGTATGAAGTTGTTTCGTGGAATTAACAATTCTTCAAATATAACAGAAATTTTGAAGAAAAAAAAAAACCAAAATCTAAAAGTTGCAATAGAAAGATCAAATTCGAGAAGCATGTGTAAAATTGGAATAGAAACAACTTTTTCGATTAAACTTTTTCGATATTCGAACAAATAAGCCTACTTTCAGCGATTAATTTGAAAAAAATGTCACTTTTGACATAAGTCATTAATAAAGGTTTTTCCCATATGATGCCGACTTTATGAATTACACTGTATAGCAATTTTTTATGAAAACGATTTTAATGTTATCAGTGCCACAGTATAACATGGTATAACCTAAGAGGTGCTCCCCTTGTTGGGCATCGAGAATATTATGTTCAATTACACCCTGTATATTGTGATTGTGAATCACCATATCAAGAAATAGTTATGAATATTGTTTTATTGAAATCTGGAATCAAGTCAAAATCAAGATTATTCTTTACTATTACTATAGCTTTTTCTGCATTAGATACAGCTTGTATCATTTAGTTGCCAATATACAGGGTGAGTCATTGAAATGGGAAAGTGAGATAACGGCGTCGCTGTTTGAGATAGATGAACAAACATTTTTGTGAGGGTCTAGGCTCATGAGCAGCACATTTCTGAAATATTTCGCGTTATACAGTGTGACTCAAAAATGCGTGACGTATCAAAGTTATACTTTTTCTAATGGAACACCCTGTATTTCATTGCATTTTCGGATTCTCCTTTGTGAGCTGATTTCATCAATGCATCACACTTGAGGTCTAGCGAGAATGATTACAGAGATATGGGGTGTTCAAAATCGACATTTTTCAACTATAGGATTTTTTTGTGTCGAAAATATTCATTATTGGTCAAAACGGCTTACATGTCCTTATCTTAACTTTTGATTCATCATCTACTGATATTTAATTTGAACGAATACAGGTTGGTGGTTCATAATTCTGAATTTCGAACTACCCTGTATTCGTCTAAATTCAATCAGTAAATAGTAAATCAAGAGTTAAGATAGAGACATGTGAGCCGTTCTGACCAACACAAAAAATCCTAAAGTTGAAAAATATCGATTTTGAACACCCTATATCTCTGTAATCATTCCCACTAGATCCTGAGTTTGATGTATTGATGGAATCAGCTCACAAAGTAGAATTCGAAAATGCAATGAAATACAGGGTGTACCATAGAAAAAGTAAAACTTTGATACCTCACGGATTTTTGAGTCACCCTGTATAACGCGAAATATTTCAGAAATGTGCTGCTCATGAGCCTAGACCCTCACAACAATGTTTGTTCATCTATCGCAAACAGTGAAGCCGTTATCTCATTTTCCCATTTCAGTGACTCACCCTGTATTTGGTTAATTGTAGTTTGAGTCTCCCAGATGAATCATGCAGAACAGATAGATTGAGATTCCATTACCGTTGTGGGTCTCTAGTGAAATTGTCCAATGGTAATAGAAGTGCTGAAAGGAGACGACCATTAGATGAATTCAACAATGGGGTGGTCATGACACACAGACCTCTAGCAGATTCAGAATTATTTGAAATTCGAATAGACAGATTGGTAGATAAATGGAGTGGAAGCATTGAGGTAAAATGACTCTTTTGCCATTTTAGTTTCAAATAATGACCAAAGGAAAATGAAAATGTTCAATTTTCAGATGGGTATAACTACTCATAACCCAAACACACTTGTTTTTCCTGCTACTATGACAAATATGCGCAGTGGTACTATTATGATGTCTGGCTGTGGGATTCTCACCAATGGTAAAGGCACTAGGCGGGAGTATGGGGATTTCAATCTGGATGAGCTGACAGAAGGGGATAGGGTTGGCATGATGAGAAAACCAGATGGGAATTTGCACTATTTTATCAATGGGTTGGATCAAGGTGTTGCAGCTCAAAGAGTACCAACTACTGTATGGGGAGTCATAGATTTGTATGGCATGACTATCAAGGTACAGAAAAAAATATTAGTGTATGAATGGCAGAAAGTAAGTTGGAAATTTCGACATTTTTTATTTTTGACCCCCTCAGAGGATAAATAGGTACGGCAATTTCTATCTATCAGTCAGGCTAGCATGGGCCTGAATTTTTCTGTCAATATGCATTAGAAAATTTTCAAAATTCCAAGCCTTTAATCTCAGAAAATAATGGGTACGCCCGCCCGTCTGATATATTATTTTTTTCATGAAATTTTGGATTTCCTTGTAAAGTTGTTTACTACTCTTTAGATTTTCGTGGCGCTTTGAAGCGGGTTCTATAATCAGTAACAAAAATATTTAGAACTCGGGCGCCACCTATATTATAGCGGTAGGTCTACTTGCACGGGGCAGCTTTCACTGAAAAGAAACGGTAACCTAGGGGTGTGATATCTATCTGTCAGAGAGACAGGTTAAACTTGATCATTGAATTCAGTATCTCGAATTACCAACTGCTCTGTAATGAATAGAAATGGAAAATCAGTAATTGTGAACTTATTTTATTGATTTAAATCTAATATACATCCCTTACCTAACCTAATATGTACTATATTTACAAATTCTAAAGCAACCCGCCCCCCCATAACGACTATATCGACTGCGTCCAGTCATAGAGGGGTATCACCCAAGAGGACCCGAGTTCTGAGATTGATTTCCTCCAATACATCCAGCAACACCGCCCTATTACGAACTGAGTCCACTCATAGATGGGTACTGTTCAGATAGATTGGATGTGAAATCCGAGATCTACTGTACTTCAATACTAACGGCAACACCGTTCTATCAGGTAATGAGTCCGGTCATAGAGGGGCGCTGTTCAGGTGAATTAGATGTTCAATCCAGGACTTCCTTTATACATTTTAAATTGACTCGGCCGATAAGATTTCCACAAAATTCTTAAACACACAACATGTTTCGCTAACACAGTAGCTTCGTCAGGTGATATACTGGTAAAATGAACTAAACCAACGTTGGCTCGCTTAACTTTTATATATTCTACTTTCCCAACTTGAAGGATTAGTTACCTGTGGACAGGATCGATAAACCTCCATTTTCGGAAATTAGGCACAATATCTACATTAAAATACGGTGTACCGTATTAACTTGTTCAACCTAACCTAACCTAACCTGACCTCATTTTTTTTCGATAATTAAATATGCCCCTGAGTTCGCAGTTTCGATGTTATTTCTGTATAATGTGGACGAAATTTAGTTCAAATTTCTGACATAGTTCTTGGTTGCATGGGATCAGATCGGATCCTAAGATTTCTCAAAATTGAACGATAAAGATCGGTGATATTTGCTTAGGTATCGATAGTAGAAAGAGATGAACGAGAAGAGCAGAACTTGATGACCAGAAAAAACACCAGAGACCAGCAGATGCTTCTGCCGGAACCTCAACCATTGCCGGACTACTACGATCGCCTCACTTTCCACCCTAACTGTGGCACCCATGCGGAAGTAATCAACAATGCCCGGACTGCCCACAGGCCCAACGCTGCTGACGATTTCAATAACGGGGTCGTTTTGACGGCGCGTGCTTTGAAAATCGGAGAACTCTTCGAGGTCAGGTAAAATACCATCTTGATACAAATAACCAGAACCATTTGTGATAGAAAAATAATTTGACATAACAGTCTACATTCCAGAAATATCGAGTAAATATCTCTCTTGATACAAATAGTCAGAACCATTTGTGATAGGAAAATAATTTGACATAACAAATATTCACTGTCAGATTATTGTCATTACTTCATTCTTGGATAAGTATCTACAGGTCTATTTTTTTCTGGTTCAATGATTCAAACCATTGTCTGCTAAATATGGAGAAAAAAAATCTAGTGAGCTGGAGTATCCACTAGATTTTTTCCCCATATTTAGCAAACAATGATTCATGATTCTTCTTTGACCTATTCAAATTTGAAAATTGAGGTGCACTTCGGTGTGACCCTGTTTACCTACGATGGTATAAAATAGCATATTTCGAGTGAGCATCATCATATATACTGGGTGACCAAATTTCAAGTCATTGGATCTCGCGGTTGATTTTTTACAGGGGGACATTTTAGCTGGGATACGGTGTATATAGACTATAGAGTTTTGAGAACTCAAGTATGTTCTTGTGGAAAAGTACTTCATTGTATTACCGTGGTTTACTATGGCCTCCTCTGAAAAAAAAAGTAGCTTGAGTATCTAACTGTTCCGAAAATCTACTCCCCTCCTAAAGGCTGTCGTGTATCCATCTACTAGTCTTGATGGATATTCAAACTCTTCAGGTTGGACTGGTGGCCAAAGGGGCGGGCTCGATTGAGATTGTTGTGACCACTCACAGTCCTGTGGACCTTGACTTTCCCTTCACCATGACCAACGAGCCATCGGGCACGTGGATGATGATGGGCAGCGGAATTATGCACAATGGGACAGTTGTTGAACCCCCGTTTTTTTTTTCTTTTATCTCAACCTATCTTCTGTAAGGAAATCAATGTGAAAAAATGATTGTTTGAACATTGGTGCATACCTGTGCTAGTTCTAGTTTTTTTTTCCAACTTTTGGAGGTTATGAGTTCTTGGAAATGTTTCGATGTGCAAAAAGTTCTAAGGGAGTGCGGTGTGAATAAACTGAATACCTATATTTTTATTCAGACTTGGTTGTGACTTCATACCTCCGTGGTAGAAAGGGATTAGGTGCTATACACTCCCCTCGTAAGGGCACCTGTCGTGTTTCCATTTACCAGTCCACTAATTTTGATGGAAATTTCTATCCTTCAGATTGGACCGGGTGGTGACAAAATGGGCGGGTTCCATCGAAATCGGGGTGACCACCCACAGCCCCGTGGACCTCGAATTCCCCTTCACCATGACCAACGTGCGATCGGGCACGTGGATGATGACTGGCAGCGGAATTATGCACAACGGGACGATCGTTCTCGATCAGTACGGGGTGAATCTGGACAGGCTGCAGGTGGGCGATAGGGTGGGGGTGTTGAGAAAGGAGAATGGTACTCTGCACTTTTTCGTCAATGGGGTCGATCAGGGTAGCGCGGCTACGAATGTGCCAGAGAAAATATACGGAGTGATCGGTGAGTAAATGGATGGGGATGTGGGGTTTCGGCAGAAAATGTTTATATATTTTCTGGCTGTTATTTTTTTGATTTTACTGTGTGAAGTCGAGTCTGAGAAAGCACTTCCACTTTCTTTTGTTTGATCATTAAAGTACTAACTCTGCCATTTGAGCTTGATTATTTCCTTTGATATCATTATATATAATGATGTCAATAATAATTGTTATTAACATTATTCGATTTTCAAATATTTCGGGATTTTCTTTCTCAGTCTATAAATATAAATATCAGTAAATTACTTCTAAGGACAAATCAGATGATTCTTCCCAAAATATCAAAGTGCTTGAAATTTCACAATTAGGAACCTGAAAGCAAAATTAATTTGAGAGTAACTACGAGTAAATATATCTTCATTCAACAAATGCAAAATTTCTGTTGATGATTTTTACATACATTTCTTGTTTTTGGTAGATCTTTATGGTCAAGCAGTTGAAGCTACTATCATTGACATGTATGATCATGGGTCACCAGATACAGTTAATTCGAGTCTATCAAATGCGACTCTTTATAGGTAAGTGTTGATTTCAACATTCAAACTCGATAACATTAGAATATGCAAGGAAAAGTAATTATATTTAAATATTTGGAATGTATTCAAAATGGGTAAGAATATTTGTCTGCTAGTAAGAGTTGAAAAACATGTATTTCTTCAATTTTACAATATCAACTAGCATTTGGAGTGCACATTTGCAGAATGTAATACATAATACACCGAGAGATTCAGGTAGGAATTTTTTTAGTGATCTCCGATTCCATCACGTTCACGGAAAAAACGCCAGAATAGTCAACAACGGTTTGACAGCTCTAAGACCGAGACCGTTAGCGGAATTCAATGATTCCATAGTGTTTTCTAGTCGACCACTACGAGATGGAGAACTTTTCGAAATTTGTCTGGATAGCATTGTGGATAGATGGTCTGGCAGCATAGAACTAGGTAACGATAACAACCGAAGAACAAACCGTCCTTTATTTATGCGACATTCCATGTTATTTTGTTTGATATTTTTTTCAGAATGTGTGAATTATTGATGGATATGACTCTTTGATGAATCATGCAGTAGTTTTTTTAGTAGCATAAGAGCTGTTGTCGAAATGGGACGCAGCCACCATGTTGGTTGTTAAAAGTGGTGATGAAGACTAGATTTACTGTATCTTCGGATATCTCATGTCAAATCTACAATTTTGATCATTAAAAAATGATGGGAGGAATCCAGAAACAACAAAAAAGCTTAGAAATATGTTTTAGTCTGAAGGGTGGCACACCATCATAGCACCAAGCGGCTAATTATTCAGAACCGGCCATACATATAAATAACTCAGTTTCACAAATTGTTCATCATGAAACAGACAATATACCTCCCGCTCACTACGAACATCACTCAATAGGTAGGTACGTATTTATTGCAATCTGCAATGTAAATGAACACCAATATACAAAATACTAATATCTCCGACAATATTGTTCTCTTGAACTGCGTGTTGCTACCTGTGAAAGCTCCAGCTGCTTGGCAATCACTGTTACTCCAGGTAGTCTTGAGTGCTGCTCTGTATCCCTTGTGAAGAACTTCCTAGTTTTGAAGGTTTGATTTGAATAGATCCGGCACGAAGGACCAATATGATTATGAAATAAAGATTAATATTAATTAGAATTGCAAAGACTGTTGTTGTACAGGCGTGACGGCAGTGCGACCGGACGAGATCGACCTGCCGAGCACCGCCACTGACCTCTGCCGAGACACGTGGATGCTGAGCGGCTCCTCAGTGATGATCAACGGCAAAACCGTCAAGAACAACTACGCCTGTGACCTCGACTCTCTCGCGTCGGGCGTCAAATTGGGCGTGATGCGATCTAGTGACAAGTCGTTGGAGTTCTACAAGGACGGCGTTGGTCAGGGGGTGGCTTGTGTGGTGCCGCATGCTAGGGTGTACGCAGTTGTGGATTTGTATGGGCAGTGCGCTCAGGTCAGCATTCCGTGCGCCTCCCCAGTGGCAGGACTGGCTTCTGCAGGTGAGGGTTATCAATATCGTGGAAAAATTAAGGCTATATATATTGCCTGAAGGTTTGAGTTTTTTCAAATTCACAGAGAAATAGAAGAGAATATTGTTTATCTGAAACTATTGAGTCATTCATGCATTGCTTACTCAGTTTTCAGCAGTCAACTTCAGTTGTTGCTGTTGTGAATTCAGTGATGATAACATTACAACTGGGTAATATTGTGACATCCCATTGTCTTGTCAAATTCAAATAAGTAGGTATGCACAGCACAATACAACACTGCTCGTGAAGAAAATTCAATAGATTCGTCCTATATGGTTCTCATAGTTTTAATTGCTATTCTACAAATACACAGAGTGATCATGAATTGATTGTTTGAACATAGAACGCACACTAACGTGCTAGCGATTGGATAGTAGCGGCCATTAATCATCATTATTCTCCTACTACCAGTTTTGACAAGAACCTATATGTTCTCAAACAAATAATCTACAAAAGTATGATTCATTTTGCATACTGCAATGGCATAATTCCTAATATGGTTGACTGATGATACGCTCGTACGACTTTATTTCCAGCATTGTTGAGCATTTTCACAATGAAAAGTATTAAAATAATTATTGATTTCTGATTAATCAGTATTCGGAATTTTTTCCAATAATTTTTAATGACATCATCTTGAATTGAATGTAGTAATTTTACAATATAAACAACCTATCTTATTTTCAAAGATCAATTTCTGGTTGATAGATTTTTTTATCCCTTGGAGCGCATTTTTTGATAAAATTTCATATTATGATTGTGTGTTGTGAAAATACATTGGATTATTTTAATTTTAGGAATAGAAACGTCACACCGATCTGACACATCAGCCTCTCTCCAAGCGACCAGTATAGCTCAACCTCCGATTGAATCTGATCTTCACCGATTCTCCGAATACCATTCTAAAGGTACATTTGAAAATTTTCCTCTCAACATAAAATTAAATTCGAATGAATTTCTCGGATGAAATTTTTTCTTCTATCGAAGGCGTCACTCTGGACGAAGGCGGCCGCCTGGCCACCAGATCGAAGGACGCTTCCAGTTGCGTGCTGTTCAGCGCCACTCCGCTAGCGCCCGATGAAATGTTCGAGGTGGAAGTGGCTCGTATGTGGCGCCATCTGGCGGGCACGCTCGCCGTCGGGGTGACGGAGGTGGCGCCCTCTGCCGGCACTGCCGACGCTATGCCCGGTCGGTGCACGTATCTGAGCGGGAACGAGCTGAGGCACAACGATAAGGTACCTACAGTTGGCGTTTTGTGCATTTGTTCATTGTGATATTCGCGGTAGTCAAGAGTTGCGTTTTTTTTTATCCGATTCCGCCACCGGTATCAGTTTGATGTGTCGTTTTATTTGCAACTTTTCCGATTCCATTCTCATTACAAGGAATGATGTGGAATAACTGTTGACTGGTGTCAAAAAATCAAATTAGATTGACGAAAAACGAACCATTTTGAAAGTAAAAGACATTTAGAAGACATTTTCAGCGTGAGTTTCACTAGTTCATGATTCTTTCAAGTACAACAGGTTTCATATGTTCATTCCCAGATAAAATTAACTCTGTCGATCTCAGAGAAGTTTCTTCAATCACCACAATCACTAGTTATATTAGTTGATTCATTTTCTAGATTCTTAAGTCTAGTATTATGCTTTGGAAATAATTTGGATCTCCCATATACCAGAGATTATAAATATAACCTCTTATGTAAATTCTCTCAAGGAAGATCATGAAGTTTCTCGTTTCATTTGTAAACGTCATTCTGTTCCCACCAGCGCTAACAGGATGGAACAAATGAAACGCAACTAAGGTCATCATTTGACGTTGCGATGACATAAAAACTGCGTGAAAATATGTCTAACTTTCAATATAATAGCGTATTCGACTGCATTGCACTGACACGGTATAGATGCGTATTTAGCAATGCACTGACTTCGGACAGAATTCGTTTTGTTCGAATCTAGAGCAGATGCATGTCGATAATTCGAATTATTCTGGCACTGTAAGGATGAAGTTTCTCGTTTTATTTGTAAACGTCATTCTGTTCCCATCACCGCTACCAGAATGGAACAAATGAAACGCAACTAAGGTCATCATTTGACGTTGCGATGACATAAAAACTACGTGAAAATATGTCTAACTTTCAATATAATAGCGTATTCGACTGCATTGCACTGACACGGTATAGATGCGTATTTAGCAATGCAGTGACTTCGGACAGAATTCGTTTTGTTCGAATCTAGAGCAGATGCATGTCGATAATTCGAATTATTCTGGCACTGTAAGGATGAAGTTCAATATTGACATTATGAATATTCGACTGATATGTTTAGGACAACGTGCTGTTGGATCCTAAGGCTGGATCAAGCTAGATATAATCAAATATTTCAATTCTAAATTGACAAATTGTCAAATTATTTCGTAAATTTCGAAGAATGGAGAGAATAATCATTTGCGGCATAATAAGTATAGAGATATTTTGTAAATAATCAGAGGTGGGTAGGGAGATATAATGCAATTTTGTCATTTACTACAAATACCAATTCCAATTTTTCAGTGCAATTTCTGGGTATCATTAATTTTCTGTATCCTGTTTCATCCTACTTCGATTTTATGAATTCAAAAGCGCATGCTCGGGAACTCGCTCAAAATTACGCCAACGATATGTTCCCGACGATCTTTATGGGGCCTCTAAAAATGAATTGGGGGATTTTCCAAAATATTTTTGGCCCAGAAGATCATTCATTATGCCAAAATCAACCCTTTATATCATGTACTATAATCAGGGAGCAGTGAGTATCGTAAGTTTGACACCAACATAACCTGTACCCTAGATACTCAAGTTCTTCACACCGAATCTCAGCTGGTTGAGTTGCGAAGACAGAATCGGCCTGCTCAGAACCCAAGACGGCAGCATAAAAGTCTTCATAAATGGAGAAGAACTGTCCGTCAATTTTCCCGCTCTGCCTGACGTCGTTTATGCAGTGTTCGATATGAAGGGGTCATGCGGTGAAATCGCTGTCACAAGTCACAAGGCCAATATTTCTCCGCTGAACAGTATAAGGTCAGTCCGACTCTTACATACGCCTGTCCTGTGTTGTGCAGTATTTCTCCTAGTCACATGAGTAGGTTACAAATTCTGCAGAATAAAGTACTCCGTATCATTACCAACGGTAATAGATACACTCGAGTGGCAGATATGCATGCACAATGCCATGATCTGCCCATGATAAGAGAATAGATACTGAACGTAGCACAACATACCATCTATCAAACAGTACTCTAACAGAAAATATAACAGCATTCAGAGCAGATCATGGCATACGTAGAAAACACGGGCTAATCTACGAAGCCTGCGATATTTTCAGGGGACCCCTGGAATGATTACCCACCCTCCCCACAATTCCTTACGAACTGAAATTATCAGAAATTGAACGTTATTTTTTCAAAAAAAGTCATATTCCTGTGTGACTTGCAATTTTTTTAAACCAAATTTTAAAATTTTAAATTTTCAAAAATTGAGTAACAGATGATTTTAATTGTACAAATGTTAGTCTCCTATGTGTCCACGTAAGCAATTTTTCACAATATGTCACCATATCTTTTACAATTTTATATTTCTAACAACATTGTAACCAACCTCACCAAAGATTATTCCTGATGGGTGGGTCACACTGTATATTTAAGACAAAAGGAAAGGTGAAAACGTTCTTGAACTCAATGAAATAAAATTGTTCACAAAAACAGTTTTGATTTTCAGATTACAGGATAGCTTAGAGCTAGTTCTAGACCAAGAACAAGCCCCGGACCTCGTGGAAAGCAAAGACAACCCCCTGGAACCCCCGAAACCAGTACCAGCCCCATCAGGGGCCTACGAATTCCACGACAACCACGGCAGGAACATCGAGCTGCTCGCCAACAAAACCGCAGCTAGACGGGTGGCTTCGTACAATCAGGGGGTGACGATCGCTCAGCCCCCCCTAGAGGCTGGCTCCCAAGTGGAAGTCGCCATCGAAGAGCTGGAGTCTCGTTGGAAGTCCTCGTTGATAGTGGGGCTGATTGCCGGTGCTCCGGAGCGGTTGAGTTTGCCGGTGAACGCGCTGGCTTTGAAAGCGCCTAGTTGCGTTGTCGCCAGCGATTGGATCTCTATAAATGGTGTCAAGGTATATACGGGTGATTCGGTAAGGGTGACGTGATACTGAATCTCATCAGGAACTAATGATTTTGCCAACAAAGTCTGGTCTTTGAACCGCTCTCGTTAGGGGGCGTGTTTTATACTCTATCAGTTCCTGAGATACAGTGCCTCGTCAACCTACAATGATCTAATGATATTGAACTCCTAGATAGTGCCTAGAAATATAAGAGTGCGATGCTAGGCCCAACGAAATCAGCTGGTGGAATGTGATATTGCAAGTTATTTTCACTCAGTTTGACTTTTTTAGTGTGTTTGTTTGTGTACTTGAAAAAGTGTGCTAGGTTAGGAATACTCATTTTTTTTTCCATTTGACTGACGATAATTATATTTGAGACGTTGAAATTTCAAATCGAACATTTATCGCGGTTAAAGAAATATGTCGAGAACCATCCAACGAATTTGACAAACGAGAGAGAGGCAAGTATATTATTGTTTGCACATGCAGCCATACCCATACTCCTTTCTCTTTATCACGTGCATTTTAATATTTCGTAGAGGACGGTAAGGTAAGGGCGAATCTAGGGGTACCTTTGGGTATGTACAGTGTGACCACCATTTGCTCTCGAGTCACTGTATCAATGGGCGTGTACACCTTAGTAGAACTTTCAACTCAAACCATGTTTATAATGATCCTTTTATACATAAATAATGATTGACGACATAATTCGATCGAAAAATTAACTGGAATGTTTTATTTTTGGACATAAATGATAGTACCTTCTGAAAACGGAGACCCTCTTATGACGTAGAAACCCCATCTCGCCATATATATATATATATAAACCATATATATCTACTACTGATATATGAATCATAGCTCTCCTCAAAGCGGGACCCATTTCTGTCTCTATAGGTAATGAAATCGACCAATAGGCGTTGATACCGACGTAGGGAAAAAATAATAGGAAATTTGTCAAACCAATATGGCTGTTTCCATCCTTCACTTTTCGTTCTCATAGATTCAAAGAGTACCTCTCATTTTGGTCCCATTTTTGTTGAGATATCGTATAGGCGATGCGCCATATATAGAAATAGTAGATATATGGTTGAAACTGACACTCTCCTGACACTTATTACTGTTGCCATATCATCCAAACAAAATATCCGAGAAATCGAAATCGATATTGAAATATCTTTTGATATCCACTACCACTACTGCAGAAAAATATATTCGAGTTGTCGATTGTAGGTTGAATCATTGGAGTATAAACAATCTCTAGACAACGAAATGTCTCAATCTCAAAACCATTTGCAACATTACAATTTCACAATAATCCAATATATTTCATAAACATAGCAACATTGCTTTGTTGACCCGTTTCATATGGAGCTGCAAAAAGTCAATCTAGGTTAGAATTGATTTGTCAGAAATCATGTATCATTCATCTCTGTCTGGAATAGTCTTGTTTCAGTATTAGGGTTTTGACGTCACATCATCGCCTCGTTTTGAGAGGTCCGAAAAATCGGGGATTTCAATAATTTTTTATAAAACGTAGGGAGCTCACAGCAAGAAACGGTTTGGGGTGGTGAGCTAGTTTGGGTGAGTTCTATCGAATTATGAAATAATTTTTTTTTGTGATATAAGCCCATTTTACTGTATTATCTGATCTGGCCATGGGCCCACCATGTACTCACGGCGTCGGGGTGGGGGTAGCCTGAGGTGATTCCAGACACCACTGGTTGAAAGCTTGAGGTCCCCACTCTTGTCATGGTAGCGGTATGTGGGAAAGGCCGCGAACGGACACCCGTCAAACGGGACTGAAGGATTCCGGTCGACATGGGTAGCTGGGCTTGCTCTTAGTTCGTCAGGAAGGGGGCAGCCCCAAGCGATCCTACCGCCAGTCATCGTAGGCAAAGCCGGGTCCTCTCCTGTAAACGAGGTAGAGGAACGTGTAAAAGTCCTCGAACGATCACTCATTCAACGAGAAGATTCTTGTCAACATGAGTAGCAATAGGCCAAAACCTCTTGCGACGGCAACCCATCAAACGTAACAAAAGGAATCTTGATGACATGGGTACCTGGGGTAATGAAGATAGCCTCATCAGGCCGTACATACGGCCTGGTGCCTCACCAATTGGGTTGGACTCCAGGGGGCAGCGGTCTGCAGAGCCAGTAGTCTGTCTTATCAGACGGCCTCACCATTGGTATAGTCAAATGGTTACAGGAGAACATGCCGTTACATAACGGAGATGGCTCTAGCGCGCTGATTTGGCGTATCTAAATCCTCCATTTCTCCCTGGGGTGTTGTCGGTAAAGTCGAAAGATAGGGACCGGCAGTCATCACTATGGGAGTCTTGTGAGAGGGGAGTGGGAATTGGTCCCATCCGATTGCTACCCCGGCAATACAGATTATTATTATTATTGTATTATCTGATCAAGAAATGCTATATTCCTATAAAATCCAAGGCATACTAGGTCAACTTTTGAAACATGTATGTACGTCACTGAAAACAAAAAAAGTCTAACCTCTAAAGGCAGTTTTTTCGAGAGTTTGAAGGAAAAGAAGACTTGAAAATAAAAAAATTAATAATTTGTTGATGAATATGAATGTGTTTCAGACTAGTTCGAATTATGGTCAAAGGTTGGATTCTCTGGTGGTGGGAGATACTGTCGGCATAGCTTTGACGGAGGCAAAATGTTTCCAACTATGTTTGAATGGAGAGGAAGAAGAACCTCTGCATTGGGGGTTCCAACCAGAACAGCCTGTTTTCGCCGTTTTTGACCTTTACGGTCAATGTCAACAGGTAAGTGTATCAATAATAATGCCATGACTCCTTCAGATACTATCAATACATGTTTTATTTTCCACAAAAACTCCGTCCGTCAAAATAAGTGATTTTGGTCTTAATTAGAGTAGTGATGAAAATAAAAAAATATAAACATGTAAGTTTTAGTTGATAGTTATAAAAAAAAACAATCAGAAAACGACCTTCATCTATTAAAGAACAGCAGTTTTCAACATAAATAAAAGTACACCTTTTCAAGTTTACTTCCTATTGGAAAATATTATTTTGATCAATGCGTTCTCAGTAATTATTTTTTCATCAAACCTATTCACACATACTTATTACTTGAACTGAGGAGAGAATTCTTGTTGAACTTCTGTGTACCTAACCTCATTTCGAGGATTTCTATTAGGTGTATATGAATTCTTCAGCAACTTGTAACTTCCTGATTCAATACAATAAAAGGATGCAACCTGTACAAAAAAAATTCTTTGTTGAGGTCTTCATCCACTGAAATATCTCATTTCTCAAGAAAATGTCACATCGTTCTCCAATCCACCTGTGTCTCCAATTATGATTTCTTTTCATTTTTTCTAATTATTCAGATTCGTATCGTGAACAGAGCTCTGTCGAAAGAAGAAGAAGTCACAAAAACCATCACTGATTGTGAGAAAGCAGATCTAGAGTCGTGCGAAAAAGAGAGATCAGAAAAGAAACTTACTTTACCCATTGCTTCAACAAGCACCAGTCTCACAGCTTCTACACATGCTAGAAACTCGTCTAGTTGCAGTACACCGATAAAGGCATGTGCATTGAAAGAGGAATGTCGAGAATTCAAGAGGAAATTATTGTTACCTGGTCAGTGGCAAATTATTGAATTTTCCATCATTTGAATTGGTATCTCTATGTTCTTTTGTTCCAGATCACTATTTCACCACCGATGAACCAATATGTTACTGTCAGAATTGTTATAAAGTCAAAAGTGGAGATACTGAGAAAGAAAATTGTCCAACAGGTAAGGTTATAGGATGACCACTATTTTTTCTTAATGTGCTTGATTTTTTTTATAGGTTGGGTGAAATTTCCTCTAGCAAACTCTGAAAATATTACTACTGATCGTTGGCAAACAGCCTTCTATTTTTCAAAACTGGGTGCGGTCAGATGCATTTTGGACAAAGGACAACCTTTGACCAAGGGTGAGTGATTGAGTGATTATTTCCTATTAATCATCATCGATTTTATCATAATCCATACCGTGACGTCAATAATAATAATAATAATTATAAATTCTTTATTCCAGTAAGACCAATTTGACATGGTATCGGAAAAGTCAGTACATACAATTTTAAAACATTACGTATATATATGTATGTACATAATATAATATGTATAATAGTAAATTAGTGGCAAATTTCAACCGTTCGAATTAGACTGTGACCTGTGACTTTGTTTGTGATTTTGAGACCATTCAGAAAATGTTTCAAAAATAATAAAATTGAAGCATCACTGTGGAGATTAAGAATGAAAAAAATGGAACAACCAGTTCACTAGCCTATATTGAGTTTCAGAATCAACAGCTTTCCATACATTATATTATTTAGGCAAAGATATCTTATAAACGACCTCCGAGATATTTAAAAATTTTCTATAGTGTCATCTTGCTGAGAACACTAAATATTTAGCCATCATCACCGAGGTTACAATGCTTTCAGGGCCGGTACCAACAATTTTGACAGAGGTTCTACTGGTGGCTACGGTTGTGGTTTATTTACGGAATGCCAGTCATTTGTGAAATTATAGTTTTGATCGTTTTTTTGAACAATCATGCTTTGCCAGTATTGTAGATTGTGTAAAAGTCCATAATTCTTGGTGCATTGTATGCAGGATGTAGAGTCCATATATAACAAAACGTCATCAAACTGAAAATATATCGAATATTATTAATTAACCCCAGTAACCGAATGCATCTGAACTTATTACGCAATAATTTAGAAGGGAATATTGTTTTTCGTTGTTATTTGTAAATAGGAATCAAACCGAAAACTAAAACACGTCAACGTCAACTCAAACTTACCAGAGAAAATCCACGGTCGTTTTGGTGACAGTGAATCTACCGCTTTTTCAGCAAATGAGTTCCGTAAACAACCTCTTTTCAGGAACTAACCGAACATTTTATATTCACGGAACGGAAAACTACTAACCGAAATAACCAAGTTGATTTACGGAACATACCTAACCGCACAGGAAAGTGCCATTTTTCGATCATTTTGCTCAAGATAGTGATTGGCACAGGTGCAGTTCCAAAGAATACAATCTTTTTGCATGCCTTTGTGACACATCATTTCCTTATCAGATGACGGTCTAAATTTGCAGTCGGCTCTTGGACTATTATTTCCATCTCTCCATGGTGAAAATATAATATGGTGTGCTACTCAGATATCTTGAATTCGTCTTTTCTGCGCATAACGTCATTGCGAGTCTATACTCGCACCAAAATGGTCACGACGACTCGGACGAACTGATAACTGTGAGCTCAGACTGCGAGCAATTGTTTTACTCGCAGTGACGTATACGATGAATAGCATATCATAGCTAGAGTCCCTGTATATACTTTAGACAAGAGTCCGGACACAAAACTGACAGCCGTTGGGGTTTTTAATATTTTGTTTCATTTGGTTTGCCCACCTGACAATGTGACGAAACACCATAGTCGTCTCGCCCACTTTTTTTAATTATTTCGAATTTCTGTCACTGTCACTTTGAAATTTTATGACCGCTAAAATTTTGCAATTTAAATTATTTCAATATCCTGCTGCGTACATTATTGCGATAATTCATTAGAAAAGGGATTCGAGTTATTCAATTTTCCGAATGATCCTTTAAAGATAATGTCATGGAAGAATGCAATGAAACGTCCAGAATGGAAAATCAATTTCAAGAAATCCGCAATATGTGAGGTAAATATTCGAATCCACTTGTGAGAACAGTACAAAAAAGATGAATTTTAGGCCCATTTTGATAGAGATTCTTTCAAGCTAATGGATTTCAAATTGAAAGAGTCTGCTGTGCCGTCAATCTCTTCAAAAAAAAGAGTTCCGTCGTCATCGTATTGGGATACTGAATAATACGATCACAGAGAAAGAAAATGAGAATGAGATGATGCGGAGAGGAATTGAAAGTTTGAAATCAAAACTAGAAGATTTAGGGAAATTGCAATGTGCTATGTCATCAGTCCAGCACGGTGTTTTCAATTCAGATCAAATTAAAAAATATACTGGTGACACAATTAAAATTATATTGAAACAATTATATATCTTCTATTTTTTTATATCCCAAAAAAAACAACTATATTTTCTTGGCTATATGTGATACCACGTAGAACACTTAAATAATCTTTCTTATATCTAATGAAGGAAAGAAATATCTGATGACGAAAATTTGCAATAGCCATCTCAGGAATTGATTACGAAAATTATCGATTTGAAATTTGAACACCCTGTTGTTCATTATTTGTAAATCTAATAGTTATTCTAGTTAAAATAGCCCAATTTCTCACTTCTACCTACGGCTATGAACGGTTTGACAAATAATCTAACCCTCAAAATTGTTTCTGACAATCATTGATACTAGGGGAATTGAAAAGACAGAGCTCGATATATATGTCTTATTCCTTTATTCAATCATCAATGCATTTTTTGAAAACAGAAAAGGACAGAAGTATAGTTGTGTCCGGACTCTTGTCTAAAGTATATACAGGGACTCTAATCATAGCTACAGCTACCATATCAATGAGCACAACATATGGTACGGATATGCCGTCCTTCGGAGGGGACGTTGAGCTGGCGGTCCCGAGGCCATGGATGTTGGACTCGTTAAAGATCCCTACCTCTGGTTGGAATACCAGAGGATTCGGAAAAAAATCCGGTTGGGGGTAGTGTGCTCACCAGCGTCGGTGATTAGCCTCAGTAGCAGAAAACAAGGAAGAAAGGAAAATGCGTCGTAGCACACCATACTATAATTCCACCATGCATCTCTCCACAATGTCAGATGTCGTGAACGAAGTGTTTTTATCAATAGGACAAGCTGAGTGGTGCAATATCACAGCTCAAAAAACAGACGATGTTCAAGTGGTGTTCTACCCGACTGTGCATTGTCCGACGACCAATGCCTTCAGAACGGAAGAGAACCGACAAGTGTTCGCGGCATTCCAGCTGTACGTCAAGCCGGGGGCTTACTCGGTGTCCAGGGAGGCCGATGTCCTCGAATGGAGTACCAAAGAAACAGGGGCACTGGCGTTGAGTGCTCTCTTGCTGAAAATCGTCTAGGGCTGTACCGGATGAGGTGTGGTAGGCTCTCTTGCTCATGATGTAGTTTGTGGCGAGAAATATATCGTGAATCACATTCCAATGTTTTGAGAGGAGATCTTAACTGTTGAACGGTTTTTGATTGATTCTTAGGAGTTCGGAATTTTCGATGTATTAGTGCAATATATTTTGGAAGTTTACTAGTCAATAAATAATATCAGTGTGGTTTTACACATACATAGATACAGACTTCGAGTTCATCTCTATATTGAAAAAGTAATTGAATTATCAGTGGATGTAACATTTGATGATAAATGTTTGTGAATTGAATATCAAATCTTTTGTTCCACTGAAATAGCCGTGGATAGTCCCTATTTTTTATACTCATTGTTTTATCTGTGACTTTTTTCAACTTGGACTTGAATTTTTCTTCAAATTAACCTTACTTGTGCTTGTGGTAGCCCTCAAATATAGTGTTTTTCATTATTATTTTCTTCAATAATCACGACAAGTATATTTTTTTGAGTTTGAGATGAAACAACAGAATTGAAACTTTCTTTCCTCTTTTATATTAAAAGTGAAAAGTTATATATCAAATGTTAATTGCATAAGTTTTAGTTTTTCATCATTTTCTCCATTAAAATAATAAGATAATGATGGAGGACATATACTGAAGTCAGATTATTATAGGTACTATATAGGGTGATTTTTTTTAAGAGAAGGCAATCTTACCATTTGCATAGATTAATTTGTGAAGTATTCAACATTCACTATTGTCATTGATTCTATACAAGATTTGCCTTCATGGTACTTCCATAGTGTCCAAAATACATTATTTCTGTGAATTATTATTGCTTTTGATTTTTTCCTACAATGCATCAGGCGTCCATCAGGTCTCTTGAATAGATCCGGCTCGACGGACCAAAATGTTCGGTGGTTGATTTCATAAATATATCTGTTTCAACAATACGTTATGTTAAAAACAAATGAAAATTCCTTATACTATATAGGGTAATACAATGAGTACCTACTAATGAATTAATAAAAAGGTCATACAAGTACTAAAACACTATTGTCATTGCTTCAATCTAAGATTCACTTTCATGGCATTTCAATAGGGTCCAAAATACTTCATTTCTGTTAAATATTATTACTTTTGGTTTTTTACTACAATGCAGGGGTCTAGGCCTCTTGGATAACTATTAATATATCATTCTAGCAGTGCAGATAATTCAAAGATGTATTAGGCAATATTATTCCCCATAAATACGCCGATTTATAATTGAATGTAAATTTCAGAAAAACAAAGTTTGCAGAATGAGCTTTAATAAAAACAAAACTGTCAGTGTATACATACTTCAAATATATGAACAAACAATCTCTGTACAGAAAAATAACAAATTGTTCTATAAGTTTCCTAATATTACCTATGAACAAACAACAAAAAATTTAATTACATGACTTCCACCAAAAAGAGCAGTTTTATTGCAGTTAATCAGCTGGTTAAGTACCTAAATCACTTGTATATGAATCGCCTGTACTGCCGTCACTCACGATTTTACCCGTATCTGAAACAACATAAAAAGCAGGTTAATACATCAGAAACCCCCTCAAAATCACAGCTTGTGAGGAAAAATACCAATCGACTTCTTCATAACATCCTGGAAATGCCTTCTGCCGTCAATATACATCATAGCCTCATGGTACGTATTAGGAACGATCTCATTTACAACCTCCGGAACCACAAACGTAAACTGGAAAGTATTAGTAGTATCGTTCTTTCCCGTAATCGGATTGAAAGTCTCCACGAAAACAGCGATCTGCATGTAATTCATCTGCGTATAAACCACATAAGCGTGCATCTGAATCAGCGAACTGACAGCGATCGGCCGCTGGAAGCTGATATCGCTGATACTTTTGAGAATCGGCCGGTACTTGCTGAACATGTGGCCCAGCACCCAGCTCAGTTCCTCGGCCTGCCGCATGATGAAGCCCCCGAAGACGGTGTTGTGCATGTTGCGGTCTGAGGGGTGGGAGAAGACGACGTTGGAGATGTGGGCAGCGCTCATCCAGGCGCAGCCCGAGGGAAGGACGCGCGTGCGCAGACTGATGTCCTTGTTGGCCGTGCGGAGGTACAGGTCGTGGATTACTTTTTGTTCTTCGCTATTGGGGACGACCTGAAACAGGTTTTGGAAATTTATTCGGCGACTTTTCGATGAAGTTTTGAGTTTCGTAAACCGTGTGCAAGTGTATACAATATTTTCTCTAGGAACAATAAATCTAATATACACTCACTGGTAAAAAAACCGGCCACCAAAAATTTGCCCAGATTGTTCACCCTGTAACTTTTTTAATCCTCGTCCGATATTTGTGAAATTTGGATCAAACCGTAGATTTATGTTCCGGAATGTCGTTTTTTAAGAAAGTATGGAATTTTTCAATTTTCATTAACAATAATCAGAACCTACATAAACTTTTCGGCCTACTCGAGTTTGATTAACGTTCAACCGCCGTAGCATAGAGTTAATCAAATTTCTCAAGTGGTCTTGAAGAATTGCTCAAAATTCTCCTTGAAGGGCGAATCGTAGTTCTTGAAGTGTCTCTGACAAGGCCTGACGAAGGCAAATGAGCCTCTGGAGTTCATCCCTAAGATGCTCTATATAGGTTCTGGTTAATAGTTAATAAAAATTTCAAAAATCCATACTTTCTTGAAACACTTGTATCTTCTCTTAAAAAGAAGATATTGACATGAATCTAGAACCATTGTGTTAAGAAGGGACGAAAAAGGATCACAATTCAATTCAAAACAAGATGAAGCGGAAGGTTGGAGAATTATTTTTAATAAAAATCCATACTTTCTTACAACACTTGTATCTTCTCTTAGAAAGTAGTTATCGACGTGAATGAAGAACCATTGTGTTAAGAAGGGGTCACACTTCAATCCAAAACATAATGAAGCGAGGTTCAACCACTTACCTTTTCCACAGAGCGTTATAGGATGTCAAGGGTGGAAAAGTAACTTTTGTTTTCCCCTATATAATGATCAAGCCGTCAGCTTCTCTCAGGACCTAATATTCAGGCTAACATTCCTAAACATGAATATACGATTTGGTCAAAATTTCACCAAAATCGGAGAATTAGAAAAGTTACAGGGCAAACGATTTGGCAAAATTTTTTGATAGCCGGTTTTTCTGCTGGTGAGTGTATAAAATTCTGCTATTCCTGTCAGGGTGTTTGAAGCCAAACTCCTCTGAAACAGCTCGATTGATTCCTATTAAAATTTTTGTGCGAATTCGGTAGGTATGAGAATCGGTCGTAAGCTATTTTTCAAATTGAAAATTCAAGATGGCGTATCCAATAAGCCGGACGAGTTTTGTATTGCGATTTTATTCAAAATTGGTATTTGAGGGGTTTTCGGAGTCGGAGATTATTATTCTTTCGTCAACATTTGGAGATTCAAGTTGGCAGATCCAATATGGCGGACGAGTTTTGTAACTATGATCCAATTCCATTCAAAATTTGTATTGGGGGGGTTTTGGGATCGGAGATCATGATTCTCTCATCAAAATTTGGAAATTCCAGATGGCAGATCCAATATGGCGCACGAGTTTCGTAATTATGATCCAATTCTGTTCAAAATTGGTATCTGGGGGTTTTCTGGGTAGGAGATTATGATTTCTTCTTCAACATTAGAAAATTCAAGATGGCTGATCCAATGTGACGAACGAGCTTTGTAATAACATGTAATAAATAGTAGTTTGAAAAACTATAATGAAAAATGCTTTTATAGATAGCCAAAATCAAGGCCATACTGAAAAGAATTAGACAATTGATAGTATAGTTTGAAAAACCATATAGATTATCAAACTTAAAAGAAGTAGAAAATAAGATATATTTCTAGAAATGATGTTTATGGCAAAACAACGTTTGCTGGGTCGGCTATAATTAAATAAAAACTATTTATACACACAACTGCAAGTCAAACCGACCAGAGAAAAATGTACCCAAAATGATCGCCAAAAAAAATTATTGCCCTCTTACTTTGAAGTGCCTGAATTTAGCTTCATTATGAGAGAAGATACAAGGGTTTCAAGAAGAGTACATTAATTTATAATGTATAATATTAATTTCAATTTTAACAATAATTCAGAACCCATGGAGCATTTCTGAAATGATCTCCAGGGACATATTCAAGCTAGAGGAGAGCATATTCATTATTTTCTACATTTAGGAGGTATGCTCTTGATGTTTTTTAATAAGTAAGGTTTTTGCTGGTATGTGCTGAAAAATGGATGGGAATGAATAAGTGATATGGATTTTCATAAGTTGCAGGGTGATAAATTTGGGTAAATATTTGTAGCAGAAGGGTAGTAGTTTCTTTTGTTGGTAAGTGTATTTTGACATGTTTCAACATCTCCAGTCCATGAATTGCTTTTACTTGATTGTACCCACATACCTATGTGTTTTTATAGTTTCATAATGCAAAATACATGTTTTCATTAGCCAAAATCTGTTTCATAATGGAAATCTTTGTTGAAATGAACAATATGAAGAAAGCAGTAGCAGATTCAATCCACTTATAGGGGAGCAGAAAAAAACATTTTTTATTGAGTTCTCAAATTATCTATAAATTTTAGTGGCAAAAACATTTTTGTACATACTTTAGATACATGAGCCTGTTGGATTTTAATTCTCCTTTTCTTCCTGTCTTCACCACCTGACAATATCTCTCTTTCTCTATCATTGGCTGGATCTATGGCATTCACTATGGCTGCTTTCATATTGTTGGAGTCTCTTGCAGCAAGTAAGAACAAAGCTCTGGTGATACGATGCCATGTATTGTGCATCTGCTGTTCCAACCAAACAACTACTTCTAGAGATGACTTTCCAACCCAACTGACATGCCCAGAGATTTTAATATCTTCTTGAGGCTTGAAACATCCAAATTTGAATTATTTTTTTCTAGAGGTTGGGATAACCACTGGGGAAATGAGAAAAAACTGAGAAGGGATTGGAGGAAACATGGAAGGATTGAATGGTATGAGGGAAAATCTGAGGGAAAATGGAGTAAATTGAAGAACATTGAAAAAGAACAATCATGTACAATTTCAGAGTGGTTAACCCTTGACATTTCATGAGTATGCTACCAATATGCTACCTTAGGAGTAAATTCAGAGAAGTCAATCTTGTCTACTAAGGCTGTTACCAAGGTATATGGAAAATCCTCATTTTTTGGAGCTTTTGGGTTCACTATGTGTTTGTGTGCCACCATAACTGAAAAAGAACATACTTAGAAGACTAAATCCATACCAACAAATAAGAACAAATACCTACCTGCAAAGATATCCATATCTTCAAGCAATCTTCCAGTTCTCACATGCCCCAAAAATGTTATGTATTTATCCTGTAATACCTTGTCTGTAGACAAAGGAATAATACCAGCCAAAAAACTATCCTGCATTGATCTTGTGGGAAGCTCTTCTTGAGTTTGTGGCAGGTATTTCAAGAGATGAGAACGGTCCTTTGGGATAGGTTGGTAACCTGTATCCACCCCCATTTCTCTGGCAATAGTTGCCTTCACTAAAATTCAAAATTTATGATTTACAATAATTGTGATATGATAATTACTAACAATCTGTGATAGTGGCATAGTCCTGGGTTGGAGCTGCTGAAGACATTTTCACTTTCATCATGTAATTCTTGAAGGACCTAATAAGACAGTGTAATCTTCATTATCTGATATTTACTCCACCTTGGATTTCAATATCATCAATGGAGTCAAAGGTCAGTAATCTATGATATCAGTACTCACTCTTTCCTCATTGGATTCAAGTATGCTGGGAGCGGGGATAATAATCTGTTGAAGACTTTTCCAGACATTGTGGGTACCAAAATGTTCACCAAATCAAGGAAGGTTCAGGAACGTTCAGACAGTAATTTTATTGGAAATTTGGATAATGTCTCAAAATTTCGTCCTTTCAAATTGATCATTATAATTTAATCATTGTAGCCTGCAACAACTACTCTTACTCAAAGATCTGTATCTTTTGAATTTGGAAATACTATACCTATACTGTATCAAGACACATTAAAAATTGATTGAAATATTCAAATTTGGCAATTTCGAATCTTCATTTCATCTGTCCTCTGACTTCTGACACACATCCACCATCTTAAATTGACATGTGACATTAAAAATCCACAGGTGCAATTTTTATACGAATTAATTTTGCCCAAACATCCGTCCATGACCAATCACAACAATTCTAGCTAAATATGTCCTCTATGACCACGACGGCACAGAATCTTTGACAGAATACTCGATGGTTTCTATGAATTTCAGACGAGCAGTTCGCGCACTTTCTTCCCTGGTTCTACCTAAAAAAGATCTTGAAAAGGCAGCAGAACCCGATTACAAATATTACGATTCGTCTGCATCCCCTCGTCTTCAGCGAATATTTCTCGGTTGGACGGTATGAGCGGGGTTTATCGAGGTAGCTGACCACCAAAAAATTTGCCCAGATTGTTCACCCTGTAACTTTTTTAATTCTCGTTCGATTTTCGTGAAATTTGGATCAAACCGTAGATATTTGTACTGCAATGTTGGCCTAAATATCAGTTTCCGTGAAAAGCTGATGATTTGATCATTATACAGGGAAAAACCAAAGTTACTATCTCACCCTTTATTCTTAACGCCATGGTGGCGGAATTGAGTGATTGAACTTGTTGACTTCTTTATGCGTTATTGGATCGAAGTGTGATTCCTTCCTAACACAAGTCTTTGTTTCATGCCAATATCTTATTTTTAAGAGGAGATACGAGTGTTATAAGAAAGTATGGCATATTTCAATTTTCATTAACAATAATCAGAACCTACATAAACTTATCGATGAACAACTTGAAGAATTAATGTCACTCATTTCTACCTCTTCTCTCACCACTTACCGGAAAAATCCTTATTTACAAAAAACAAACGAAGTAGACCTGTAGTCAATATAACGAGTATTTGATTTACAACATTCAACCGTCGTAGCATAGAGTTGATCAAAATTCTCAAGTGGTCTCTTAAAGAATTGCTAAAAATGTTCCTTGAAGGGCGAAGGACTCATCCTTTTCCACAGGACGTTATAGAAGGTCAAGGGTGGAAAAGTAACTTTTGTTTTTCCCTGTATAATGATCAAGCCGTCAGCTTCTCTCAGGAGCTAATATTCAGGCTAACACTTCGAAACATGAATATACGATTTGGTCGAAATTTCACCAAAATCAGACAAGAATTAAAAAAGTTACAGGGCAAACGATTTGTCAAAATTTTTTTATGGCCGGTTTTTTCTGCCGGTTGAGTGTAAATCAGTGCCTCACTATACAAGTGTTATCTTTACACATTTTGTTTGGTCTAATTGATCGTCTGCACGGATATTTGGGCAAAATGAATTGGTTTTTATCTTTTAGAGCGCACGAAAGTAAATCCTTACTATACGAAGCCATTACCATTTCCTCGCTTAGGGATATGAAAATTCTTCTCAAAAAAAGTATTACTCTGACGGAATCAATATATTTTGCCATATAAGTATATAAAGTAAAAGAATATCAGGAGCTCATCGCTGACCACGGCGTTGTTCTACAGCCGGTTGAACCGGTACCCTCATGATGAAACTAGGGTTATACGGGTCGTCGGGAAACCTCGACAGCTTGATGCAGATTTCTCTGGATCGCATGATGAAAATCAACCGGGCGAACATCTCCTCTTCCATCTCCCAGGACTGCATGTCCCGGCAGAGATAAAGCTCCAGGCAAATGTGGTATATTTTATCGACGCTGGGCATGTCGTCGTACCAGATTTCTTGCAGAGTCGTAAAGAATGTCGAGCGCATCCACGTACACAGCATAAAAAAGTAAATACCATACATTGCGATGATCCTAACAGAAAAAATGGATTAGGTGGGTTGGTTGCAGGGAAATAAGTATTGCCATTGCCTATGATGAATTCTGAAAATAAAGGGATAAGGGGGCAAACACTGATAGGAATAGAGAGGTTGAAAGACCGAATAAAGCACTGCTTTAAAATTGTTATATTTAAAATAATGGTGCAACATATTTTATAAAAAGTAAAACAAAAATAAAAAAAATCACAATATTTTAATCAGTAGTTTTCAAGATTGAATCACCACCTTAGTTCTCACTGTCACACTGTCCATTATTATATTACTCTATTACATAATGTGGCGATATGTATAAGGATAGGGTGTTCTATAGGCCTTCTCATCTAGATATATTTTTGAGACGCATGCGCTCGTTGTTAGATCCAAAAATTTATTGGGCAATGCGAAGGTGAAGTTTCATTGGCTATAGTTCCAAAACAAATTGCTGATTGGCTTTTTCGAATATGGCGGGTAATATTGACGTTCTGTCAAATGTCAACAGTGTCAACCACCATGGGCGTTCGTCATTGAGAAACAACAATAAAAACATTGTATTTTTGTTTTTATATTCCTGGTGTGTATTTATTGTATTATAATAATTTAATTCCAAAAAACTTACTTGCTCGTTACTGAGGAGTGTGTACTATGGTGTAAGTGTTTTGGTGAAAATGGCCGCCACTGTCGTTGGATGCGAGATGTAAACAGAGATAGTCATTTGTCATCTAAATGGAAAGGCCTATTCAATGTAATCATTTGCTGTTTATTCAGTTATTATAATCAAACAGTTTGAAAAAAAAAATATCAGAAACATAAACTGATTCCTCTAGAAATGGAGTTCGCATTTTTCAAATTATCAGAAAATAACTGAATGAACGCAACTCTAATACAAGTTCATATATTTACAAAACAAATAAATATCATAACAGATAATAGTAAAATTCAAATAACCTGCAAACAAAAAAATGACACAGCATATAGTTTATAAGTAGGTTTGCACGCTCAGTATAATATGTTGATTATTTATAGATAAAGTATATTTTTTATATATTAACAATACTTAAATGAGAAATATATTCGGATATTAAAAATATATCATTTCACAGCTCAACTACATTGTTTGTTATACCCAGAGTTTGATATGTGATTCATTACCCACCATTGACAAAAAATAAACCATCAAATATAACTTATATACCTGAAACGGGGACATACTTTGAAAAGAAGAAGGTAGAATTCGACTAATAGATACAAAAATACAAAAAAATAAATATTCATGTATACAAGGTGTCTCATAAGTCATGGACCAAAAGAAGTTGGGTGGTATAGGAGGGGTCATATGCAATCAAACTAGCGGTATATGTGGTTAACAAATTGTTGATAATTCAGCGACCCATTTGAAAAAAATAATAAATAAAAGACTGTTTTGAATAACCCCATGTTATACCATTTCGAAATATGTATAAATGGGCAACTTTTTCTCATAATTGGTTATCTTTATGGAGTAGTTTTTAAATCTGCCAGCAGCATTTAAAAATCAATTTAAATATTTCATTCAATGAACTCAATTAACTTATGGAAAACAACACTTTTCTTAGTCAATTGAAAGGAAGTAACATATGACATAAAATTATGTATGGGGATAGGTGCATCCATGTGGATGACATTTGTGAAAGAAAAAATCACAAATATGACATAGTTCTATTGAATTATTTTTTTTATAGAAATCAAGTTTTTGAACCATCAACAATTGGATAACCACATATACGGTTAGTTTGATTCAAAATGACTCCCCCTACCACCCCACTTCTTCAGATCCATGACTTATTGGACAACCTGTATAATAATGGTGGAAGAAATCACACGTTTTCACATAATCTAAATATTTTGGCATGAATAGGAAATCGACTCAAATACGCTTCAGTATTTGATACAAGACACAGAGATTATATCAATGATATACAACAGGAAAAATGCATCAATCATCAGTATTACAGAAAATAATTAGAATATATATTATCTGAATTCGTAAAAATTTTGGGTTTTCACTATGCTCATCGTGAAAATTCATTAGAATAGCACAATTGAATATTAAGTGCAGGTGTTTTGATATACCACTGAATTCACTACCAAACTGTAGTAGTTGTAAGAAGGTTCCCAAAAAAAACATAACATTTCTTTCACTTTCAATTTCTCGAAACCAAAGGAGATCCTACTACTATTTTCTATTCCCCAACCCAAAAAAGGTATACATCATCGAAACTCGCAGGATTTAACCACACAATAATTTTCCACTGGTTATTCTACTTCAAAGGCATCAAAAATTCATTCATCATAATTATTATATAATCTACAACTGTGTAGCAGTGTTGGAATACTGAAGTTTTCAATTCCTTTGAATTATGTATTCAAATTAGAGTGAACATGAAAATATTTTTGTAATATAGTAAGTAACAATTCAATAATTCTTAATTTCTTATTACTACAAATCAAGTGTTTATAATATCTGCTGTTGAAGATGTGATTAAAAGAAATAGTCATCTGACTGAAAGAAGAAATTATGAACATTTGAAATGATTGTTATATCTAACAGATAACGACAATTTTCTTCAGAAATATAAAAATATGGTTTTATTTTACGGTATCTAGACAAGAATTTCGGGAGTCAAAAAATATTTTTACTCAATATAATATCCTGTTGTGAACTATCTACTTATCAAGAATCAATCTCCATTGAATGAACTCATGGTGATTAGTAATATTATATATTTTGTATATATTATTTATGATTACTTCCGTTTCATAATCTTATTCTTCTAGATGTGTAGTATGTACTAGATTCATAATTCCTATTCGAATTCTGAGAAATGCAGAATCTTTTTGCTTTAGACATTTTTGATAACTTAGAGAAGTTGTCCAATATTCGTCATCTGATATAGCGAGAATAGTTGTTTTGTGTTAGATATATCACCCAAAATATCCTCGAAACATACAACTTTTTTGAGGAATATATCAAGTTGCATCAAGCAAAGTAAAGTAAAGAAATCTGCGACACCAATACAGATCAAGGAAAGCAACAATTATTATTCCAATTAGCGACATTTTGACAAACAAGTTTTTTTTCAATTCAATACCGCTATTTCGATACAGAAACAAGACAAATGTGTCTCTCGAGATTTTCGTCGCCAGACAATTTCATACCCAGAGAATATGCATTTTCTCCTTCTTTTTTACTTTCAACCCCGTACCAAGGCAGTGAAATTTCTTCCCGGCGTACCGGAAGGAAGATAATCATGAAGACTGCGGAAATAGTACAAGTGAAAAATATATAAATACCCTTCAACACTGATTGAGAGCCACATGACAGAATAATACTGTGCAACCAAGTAGCCTCTTATTTATCCACGTATGGCCAAATAAACCATCTTTTCAAGTGCATACACATAGAGGTTCACGAGTATCTAAGAGAGAGAAAAACAAAGCAACACTGTTAAACTTTGCCTTCCACCTAGATATCGCATGTTTGCCACACGAGCTACAGACAAGTATAATGTCGCTTTGTTTCCTCTCTATCAGCTACTCGTGAACCTCTATGCATATTCACTTCAATAGATGGTTTCATGAGAAGATTTGTTTTGCCAGTCGTGTATTTGCAATTCCTTTGTATCTTCAACATGTGCAGAAAGGAGATGACGCATACAAAACGATCATGTAGCACTCAAACATTGTTAAAACCCGTTATTTCCTTGAGAAAAAAGACAAATCAAGAGTAGCTCAGTGGCCTCCCTGTAGCATGGAAACGCTCGTGCATATCCAGACAAAACGACTCCGGCAACATTCAGAGCAACTCTCCGAATTTCAAACAACAATACAACAAACAACCTCTTGACAACCACAAAATTCAGCCGATCAAGACCAACAACCCCCTCTCATAAATTCACTCCCCATCCCCCTCCGGATCATCATCGTCGGCCACCTCCTCTTTGGGCCTGGTCCACTTGATCAGCGTCTCCGGCGACCGGAACAGGAACACCAGCTTGGCGAATAGGTCCTCCTCGAGGCAGAACTCGTACGCCTCGCGCACCAGATAGATGTCCAGGCATAGTTGCAACACCCTGTCGACGTTCGGCAGGTCCTCGAACATGATTTTGGCGCAGCCGTCGGCGAAGAAGCCACGCAGGACGCGCGACGCAAGGAAGACGAGGGTGGTGTAGAGGCCTATGATGCTGCAATAGGCGGAATTTTGATGATCATATATGTAAAATTGAGAAAACATTATAGGGATTCCCTTTCGTGCGCTCCAAGCGATAAAAAAAAAGATATTAATGAATGCATGAGTTCGACTCTCACACGCGGCGGTGAAGTTTTTTCCTTTTTCATTGTCACTCATCATTATGAATAACACGAGGGGGAGAACACGGCGGCAATAGGTGTACAAAATGTTCGGAAATTAATGACAATACTTGGGGCATTATCGGCATTATTCGAAAATGATCGGCACTAAATGGCAATAGTCGGCATGGAAGAAGAAATACGGCATTCAGTCGGAATTATTAGGCAATAGACGGCAACAGATATGAAATATTCGGCAATAGATTGGCAAGAAATCTTTATAAACCTAAGCAATTGTTAGATATAAACTCCATTTACAAATTCAAAATATTGAATTTCATCCATTCCGTCAAATATAATTATAAACATTCAAATCTCAATTTTGAAGTCAATAGTCATAAACACGAACACATAACCAGACAAAAAGATATGTTAACTCTCATCAAAATTAAATCAGATATGGGTAAAAGATCTATTTTATACAATGGAACAATTCTCTATAATGAATTACCTGCCAGACTAAAGAAAAAATTAAGTGTTGAAAAATTCAAAAAAGAACTGAAAAAATACTTATGTCTTTGATTCTCTTCATGTCATCCTGAATCAATTCAAGAAATTATATTCAACAGTCTCTAGAAACAACATTAAATGTATTATGTATATGATTTAAAAATGATTATCTGATTATCTTATTTTTGTTTTTTTAGTTGCTCTATAATTTTCCGTGCTATAAACATATATGTTTCTTGGGAATAATAAAGATAATAAATTGAGAAAAAAAATAGTGGGCAATAAGCTGCACTGAATGACGTAACAGCGAAATAAAGTGGCATGGGGCTTCTTTTCTTTATTTCTGTCCAATCATTCATTGTAGTGAGTAATCCCTATGTGTTGTTTTTATTTAGAATTCGAATAGGTATGTCGTTAATTCAAAATACCTCAGCTCCTGATATATTGAATGTGACAGGAAACAACACACATGGATGTACCCGAGGATATACCTAAACTTTGCCGAAAAAATAATCGCCTGAAACACTATGGAAATCAAAATATCGTAAATGAAATAGATGATCTCAATTAAGATGTCTACAATGAACAATAATTTTCAAACAGAAGAAATCACTCAAGAAATCGAAAAAAAATACCCACATAAGTGTAAGTTCGGCATGAACATGAAGAGACGTACGAGCAAAATTGAAAGTAGATACTTATTCTCGTTCTCATCCGCATTGAGATCTACACTGGTCTTCTGAAAACATGTCGCATTTATTGAAATATATTTCAAACTAGTATTTGTAGGGAATTCATATATTTATTTTTCTTAACAAAAACATTGCTACAAAACATTTCGGACAATTTGGATATTCAAACTGTGGAATACTTATAGCTGCTATCAGTAGTTTGTGTTTGGGATATTTTAGCTAGTCTTCGCCATTTTTGAGAAACTCAAAGAGAAGAAATAAGAATTATGGTATTTTCAAAGGGAATAGATATGTTTAGAATAATTGTTGACGGGCATGAAAAACCTGAAAGTTATTCTAGTCGTAAGGTATTGATAATAGTTTTCAGCATTTAGGCATTATTCGGCAATATCAGAAATATATCGGCATCAGTCGGCATTTCGGCAATAAACTAGCAATAAATGCAAACTGGCAATTTAATGAAACTGACAATAGGTGTACATAATTTTGGAGCCTGTCCTTCCCCTCGAGATAACAATAGATATCGCGAATCATAATAATAATAAATCATTGAAAAAGAAAAGCCATCAATCGTTAACGCCAAACACGGATAAATGAATAAAATCCCGAATGGTGGGGATAATAACAGACACTTGTACATCTGCGTTTGAGTGCTCAGACTAGATAACAATAGATCATTGTCTGCTAAATAGAGAAAAAATCTAGTGAGCTGGAATTTCTGGTCATCCCAATAGCTCAGTTGAGTGTAGGACCGCTAGAGGATGTTACCGTATCGTACGATATGATCGTCACTTTTTTCTAGAAAAATTTCGAAATTTGTGGTTATGTAAGTTGTCACTGGTTGTCAGTGTCAAGAGCTGTCATGCCATCGTGACTTGTTTTGATTTTTTTTTCTAAAATATCATTCTTTTTCAATTCTCATTGTTCTAATATTCCTTTCGTTTATAGATATAGTTTTGTGTTGTGCTCCCAGTATTATAGTAGTTTATTCTGATTATCAATGTGTAACAAACTCTGTCTCCTCCTATTGTGCATACCAGAAATTGTGAAACCATCTCCATTCCTGGATTTCCAAGTGATATTTCTTTGCCACAAAGTAGATAGTGTGGATACATTCGATATTGAGTGTTACAGGATCATCACAAGTAAGGAAATCAGAGCCCTGATCAAATGCTAATAATCGATACTTCCGATTCTACCACTCATTTACTTTGGGTGCTACAAGTTCCAAAATTGAGAACTATTGTAAAGTCTGTAACAACCATTTTGAGAAGGAATGATTTAAGGTGACAAAACACGGGAAAAAGTTGCTTAGAAAAGGATCAATCCACTGGAATTTTTAGGGTAAGTGTAGATTTAATATTGATATGATGAATGAATGTGGAAGAACAGGTTGGGTTCTCCTTTGGGCCAGCAGGAAGAAGTTTCTCACAGTCATTGAGCAATGAGCATATGTAATCTCCCAATGTGAATATCAATTTGTTTGGTTTATGGATATTAGTTTTGTATGATTTCACATAGGTATTAGCTTCTCACTTAATTATTGAGTACTATGATAGACTATGATGATACATTATACCTATTATATGAAAATTATTTTTAGAAACCTACTGATGCCTGGGTGACTCCATCATCATGTAAGCAGATGTGTGTGATGAATTCTTCACTCAACTAATGAAATTTGCTCATCTCAAGATAAGATATTTATTTGCCTGCAAACTACAAAATCAGTACATATAAACAGGTAGAACACTGATTTCAAAAACTTATTACACTTAAGGTTTGTATACAGTGAGTCTGATAAATTAAATGCTCTTTTATTGTAAAGATAGTGTTAAAAATGTGGCAAATTGAAAATTGATCTGTTATTCTAGGATATTCCTCAGAAATGGATAGTTTGACTAAAAATCAATTCATTCAGTTCTTTGCGAAAGCACTCTGTATTGCTGAATGTTGTGTTTAGTTAATTTTCTATCAGAACATTAGGTTCTTGTAAATTTTTTTCTCAATATCTGATTCTATATAATGTACAGGGTGTTAGTGAATGAGTGTGATAAACTGATAATCTATACAGGGGGTGATACCTTGTGATATATTTTAGGAAATAAAAGTCATATAAACATGTGTCCATGCTTTGAATATGCTTCGTTTTCCAGATATAGGGTATTAATAGTTCCATGAAAAATCGATTTTTATTTGCCTACTGGAATGTCTCAATCAATTCCAATGAAACTTGGTGGTTTGGATGATAGTAACTTGGAACTTCTTGTGGTGTAATCAGATTCAAAATAATTTTTCCAGGGCGTCACATTGGGGTAATTGATTGATATTTATGACCACTGGTTTTTATGATTTCCATATATTCATTGATTGAATGACAATGTTCTTATCTGTTATTTTGTATCTCCCTTAATTTTTGAGAGGAAACAATGAAAATTCAATTGGTTTACAAATTTCAAAGGAGTGCTTTCAATACACTCATTGAGCATACTTAACAACCTCAATAAGAAATATTTTGTGACTTTGTTGGTCACCAAAGCATATGGAATTTGCACCATGCAAGCTTATAAATTGATAAATAAAAACCATACTTCCTACTTCAACATCCATTATCTCAAAAGGTTAGGACATCATCATGTTTATATGAACTTCATTTAATAAAATATCACATGGAATCACCCTCTGAAGTTTTCTTCACAACTATTCACAAACACCATATATATTATAGGTATCTGTATTTGATTTATATTATAAACTATGAAAATATTACATAAATAAAAAAACATACTTTCACTTACTGTTCACTTCCAGGATGACGGTGATGCAAGTGGTGAATATCAAAATAATTGATCACTGGATATCAACACGGTGATAATTATGAATAATCTTTGGTAAGAGTCCAAATTGCTGAAAGTGGAGTGGAAATTTTCAAAGGAAGGAAGGAATGCTCAAAGTCATCTCCACAAATGTTAATGACGTTGTTACACAATCAGGAACATGTTTCATTCTTAGAAAATACCATCCTCAGCCTAAGCCCCTAGTAGATATTTTATTACTAGAGTCCATCTTTAGCCTAAGCCTCTTGAAGAATTTTCATTAGACTGAAAGATGGCATTTTCTAAGAAAATACTATCTTCAGGCTAAGCCCCTTGTAGATATTTCATTACTAAAGACCATCTCCAGCCTAAGCCTAAATTAAGTAACACCCCTCCTCTTTACTTTTTGATGCTTAAAAAATGTGTCAAATCTAATTTTTGGTAGTAACCTTTGAAAAACTTTCATTGAGTCTGGATGCTTTATTGAAATATTTTCTCAATGGCATGTGAGATTTAAATATGAATTTTCAACACCCATTGATTCTCTAGTGGGAGGGTTACTTTATGGACTATGGACAGACCATGTATATATTCAAAAGCAGATTTATTACTGATTTTGTTATCACATATTTCATGAAGCATCAGTTTCTACGAAATGTTGGGTGTTCATAAATTATATTTTGGCCTAAATAACTTGAAAAACGTGTTGTTCTATGCTCCAACAATGCATGCCCTACTAAGGGAGCAAATGCAATTGTTCAATTAATTCAGGAATAATTAGTCACCACTTATTTTTTTTTATAATTATATTTTACTGTATATACTAGTAAGGTATCTGATGTTTGATTGTGGATTAACGAATTTACCTATTTCTTA